CAAATTCATGTAAAGCGATATCTCCTAAGGAGTCAGTTATATAGAGGGATGACTCGTGTTCGCCTTTGGCGTTCGTCACTTCCGATTCAGGAAACCTGTATTACTCAGCTATCGTAGCAATGATCTCTGTGTTAAAATTATATTTGGAATGTATTTAACCAGCTCTATCACATATGTGATAATGACTGGCGCCAATATTGTCCTTTAAGTACGACTCAAAAATACTTCAGGGAGTAGACGGATCATTTGGAAAATTAAAATTTAACTACTGTTTTAAGAAAATTCTGTCGCTTTTTATCGGTCGTTTGTATATATAAACACGCAATCTGCTTATATATAACTACCTTTACTTCACCTGTTGGTTAATATGCAATTAACTTACAACTGATACGTCATCTATTATATTATATATAAAATGTTATCAGATCTGAAAAGGCTCAATTAAACATGCATTATGCAAGAGCAAAGTCTGCTTATTACAAGTCTTTCTTTAGGCCTGAAATGTTATCTAAATTATCAATTAGACATTAATTAACTTATCCAGACCATAATAAACTCTCGATGTCAAGGCCAGCCTTCGATGTTAGCTGGATTCGATTCCTATATGCCGTTTAACGGCCATTGATAATTAAATCAAAACAGTGGATAATCGAGACTATGCTGTTATAATAATGATTTTAGTAATGATGACCGAGACTTTGCGAATCACCCGCTTCGTTCTCGGCTCATAGTGGATCAATTTGACTGAAATTTTCAGCAAATTACCACTATCTAGTTTTTAACTATTATAGCGAGAACTGCCATCTCTTTATCTTATCTCCCATAATGTATCTTTAACATGTCTTTTATTATATAAAAACGTAGAAATATAATATTTGTATTATTTGGCCGGGTCCGCTTGAGGTTCTTTCTTTTCTTATATATTTCTTTGTCGGGAATGATTTTCCACAATATTGTGCACTCATTTGAAACGGAAATAAGAATGTCACAAACTTTTTAAATGTAATGCAACCTACTTGCCGTAGGATTATCCTCGGAAAACTCGTAAGATAGGGAACTGTTGCTGACACGCTTCGCTCGGCAAGAACCTCGTTTACACCCCTCCTTTTCAAAATCCTTGTATCTGCCCCTGGATAGATAGATATCAGTTGATCTGATGTTTTCCCCAACAATTAGCCATCAAATTAACACTTGTAGTCATTAATAACAATACTACGTTGACTGGGTGATTTGCTGACGACACAACGCTATGTTCTTCGTCAACAGATTTATCAAATGTTGAAGCTGAATTGAATTATGATTTAAACCAGTTGTGTCTGGGCAAATAAATGGCTAATATCTTTTAATCCTGAAAAAAACTGAATTAATGATTTTCACTAACAAAAATATTATGTTTCCATTAAATATTAAATTTCAAAGCACGTATTTACATACGGTTTCTTTTCATAAACATCTAGGTGTATATATTCAAGATGACCTTAAATGGAACTATCATATTGAATCTATAATAAAAAAAAGCGTCTTTTAAACTTAACCATTTACGTAGAGCTAAATTTCAACTTACACAATCCAATTTAAATAAATTATATAAATGCTATATCTTACCAATACTTGAGTGTGCCTGCAGCGAAGTATGAGATAACTGTTCAAATTATAACTCAGAAAAACTTGAAAAATTGCAGCTTAAAGCTGCCCGCACGGTAACTGGTTGCACTATTTATGCATCTCGTGAATCGCTTTATTTTGAAACTGCATGGACTAAATTACATGATTGTAGAAGTATAAGACGATTGTGCTTACTACATAAGCTTATTCACAAAACAGGACCGTCTTATCTTCAAGACATAATAAGTTATCATAGCAATAGTTATAATCTTAGAAACTGTAATGATCTAAAAGTACCACTTGTTCGTTTAACTGTAACAAAGAACTCATTTTTCCTAAACCATTCAACAATTCAATAGTTTACGTCCGGGTTTAAAATCCACACTATCTTTATCTGAGTTTAAAACCAATATCAAGACTAAAGTCAAACCTCCAAAATTAAGAAACATTGGCAGCAGATTATTATCCATTTACCATAATCGTATATGTCATACCTGTAGTGGTCTAAATTATGATCTTAATAAATCAAACATCGTTCAAAATCCATACTGTAAATGCGATAATAAAAGCATTGAACATTCATTTCACTACTTCTTTGAATGCTCAAAATATGTGTTACAACGCCATCACTTACTTGATAAACTTGGCTTTATAGGCCATCTACCACGACCTGAGTTGCATAAAATTTATTTAGATGGTTCTACTCTGTTTCCAAAATCTTTTAATATCCATATTTTTCTCACCGTACAAAATTACATTAAAGAAACGAAAAGATTCACATGTAATCTGTAGCTATTATTGTAATTCTCCAGTGGTTTATCACTGTTAATACTCATTGAGCATGTAACGAAATGGACATATTTATTATCCTAAGGTAGCATGTATATACGTATATAACTGTGTATTAAATTAAATTTCAGTGGTAATTGTAAATATTTTAGATTATACTGGGAGAAGACTCGTAAATTGTACAATTTGTTCTGATCCCGTTTGTATTATACGCATATAATTATATGTATGTATTTGCAAATAAACTATATTATATATATAACCAAACTCGTCTTTATTAGCTCAGCAGAACAGTGGGACGTTAAACCCCATTTCATTTAACTACATTTAACTATAACTTTCATTTTAACTACTAAAACCCGTGATTCTAAAATATAATTTGAAGTTCTTTTAGCGGACTTGTTATCTAAGATTTATCTGTAAATATTTTAATCTGTTTGAACTTCCTGGTCTATGAAGGGCAAGTGGGAGGAGTTTATCGTATTAAAGGAATGTTTTGTCAATGCAGAAAACGGGTCCCGATATAATTGTATGGAATACAAAATAAGCCGAAACTACAAACAGTGTTGTTACACGGTTACATATTTTGACCACTTATATATTATAAGCGTGAGAGCCAATTAAGATATACTTGTAGGAACTAAATCGCTAATATTTGGGACCTACAAACTGACACAAATGGGTCGCAACGTATATAATAATGTAATATAAATGTAAATAAACTGATTTACATTCAATCGTTTCCGTTTTTACTCAAATTTCAAAGCAGTTATGTTCGGCGAAATACCCCAGAAGTCTCAATCGAATGGCAATCTCTATCGTCTGGTTATTCCAGTCTACACCGATAGTATTTATTGCGCATTCTCTCCAGATAAGAATATGGGGTCACCATTTCACATGACTTGTGGAATATGTCTAACCTCGTTCTTCCGAGTCGCTCGTATCAAATTGCGCTGAAACGCATTATGGTACACGATTCGTGTACCAATCGTAAAATGTTTATTTTGTCTTAAATATTGGATATCAGAAGCCCATCTTTTCCCGGTAAGATCACAACACCAATGTTAATTAAAATTGACAAATTATTCATGTTTTCATTGTCGAAGGTTTTGGATGATATTGAGTTAGAGACTTAGCTACTTTAACCTTTACAGAACACCCGATTCAACCTCATATCGACTAGAGAAATATCAATAACCCAAGGTCCGTGATTTAGACAAGCGCAGTGCCGGATTTAGCTGAAAATATGAACAAAACCCACCAAAGCTCTGGCTTAAGCAGCAAGCTACTCACAAGTAGGGTGACCCACCATAAATAAATATCTCCATATATCTCGACAATTACGCCACAATACTTATATATATGCCAAGCCTCAAATCAGTTTCACACAATTATAGTCACTAAATAAACGATCATGTTGTACTTAATAAGCTATGACCATTAATCATCTATAAATAATAGACTGAAAACTGGTTCCAAGAGTCGTCCATAACATCCAGACACTTTTGAGTAAAAGATAGGTTACGTGCCCTTGTTTTGAAATTAGTCTCGCTTAACCAGTCTATCGACCATTCTACGTTTGATTGACAGGTCGGGATAATCAAGACTACTTTTTTACGAAACATAACAGAAAGCTAGAACAAGAAATTGAATTTAGAAATAAGCACGTTAGGTAGCTCAACAATCGTTTTAAGAAGCTTGTAAAAGTAAAATGAAACTACTGCTAGTATCATGTTCCTGTCTAACCCGAGTGATTCAGAGATATTATTTGTACTAAACCAAAAGATGCCGCTCTTAACGGTACAGTTAATGATAAAGCGATTTAAAAAATGAAACGAACGTAATTTCTAAATCTGCTGTAATAACCAAGAAGCTTAATTTTACTGCTATTCAAAATCGTCAACAATAAATTTTTTACGGCTGTAATAGTTGATAGATTTGTAGAGAATTGCACGTGCCATGGCTATTTATAGTATCATACTGTCAGAAAGTTGGTCTCGGCACGGCGAATGTGCACGCTTCAGTGGTAGTCTCGAACTATCAGCGGTGGACTGTATTTCTGTGAGTACATGGGTCACCCTATCACAAGACGTACGTCATAATATTTCCCAAAAAATATTTTTTAAAACATTTTAATTTAATGTGAAAAAGTTTTCGTAATAGTTTTGTGAATATGGCTCAGTGAGTAAGAAGCTGGCTCGCTAACCAAGCGGTCTCGGGTTTGCACTAGATATTGTCCGAGAATGTTTTCCAACTTCTCTGGCGTGGTTTTCCCTTGCCACTGTCTAATCTTTCGTGGGTGGGGGGGGGGGGCATAAAAAAACGTGATCCCGTGTACACTTTGACAGTTGGAATTCGAAGTAAGAGTAGGCAGTAGTGTCGCTGTCCGGGCAAAATTTCCCTCATACCACAAAGCATGCCCGTCTTCAATAGCCCAGTCGGAGCAGAACAGTAGAAGGTTAAACCCAATTTCATTTCATTGTGTAAATATCTAATTTTGTGTCTATATAGTAATCCATTCACAAGTGCGACTAGAAACACGCCTATTGTAATCACGTGATTCTCATGTATTTTAAGTTATAACGGAGAGCCCTCTAGTAATTTACTTCCTCAATGAAACACTAAAAGAATAGTATATAACACCAGTGTATTAAAGACATCGTTTATAATGTAAATGTGTTTATATTTAAAAACATTGAAGCTGGGCCAAGTATATATTTTATGTTATAAGAATTTTGGCAGTAACGTGGATTAGCAGACGATACAAGATGATGTATAAGGTGTTATTAGTATATGTGGGTGTAGTGTTATGTATGACAGACACAATGGTACGTATACTCATGGACCGTATATAATAAAACTTTACATGACGGCAATGTTTCTTATCAGATTGTCCAAACTAACGGGCAGAGTTCTCATATTCACTTAGAACTTAGAATTCCTTTCAATGTACAGTACAAGCGGTATTAGTTTAAACAATATTTTATTCAATAAGGTGAATTGGATTGAATAACAGGCAATGGCCTATATAGGTTCTCTCCAAACATATAAAATAGTTAAATCTTATGTTTACAATAGACAATGGTGGACATATGTACAGGCAGTGAGTTACAAACATACATTTCTTGGGGTGTAATTTTAAGTTTTAAATGTTAAACTCTCTTGCTGTCTTTTATGTATTTTTGCACTATTTCAAATAATTTTATGTTAGAATTGGTATTATCTGAAAGAGCGGGGTTGCCATATAAGATCAGGTCAAATGTAACATTTTGTTTAAGGTAGTGTAGAGAATTGTTCTTGGCAGAGTATGCTGGACATATGAAAAAATAATAGTTATTATCGTCGTCTGCAGAATTACACCTAGGGCACACTTTTGTTTCACTAATAAAATGGTAGAATAAGTGATTATTTAAGTTCTTAGCTTTATTTCATAATTGGCAATGGATAATATACTCTTTCCTATGTCCAGTATTATAATATAGTAGTGGTCTAATTAAAGGATACACACGTGAAAGGCCCGATTTAGACGAATTTCTTCTAAGGCCAGTTATTATTCTACCTGCTTCAGTTTGAACACATTCTAATATATCAGAATCCTTCTTTCAACAGTATCCCATACAATATCGGCATATTCTAAAATCGGGCGAATAAAAGCAAGATATATTTTATTAAGTGGAATTCTATTAATTTTATATTACAGTATATGCAAAATATTTAGTCGACCACAAGCTTTCTGGTATATATTTGAAATGTGTTTTGACCATAATGCATTTGACTTGAAATGTTAATCCCAAATGACAATGAGTAGTTACGTTTTCAAATTTTGTATTTTCCAAAATAACATCTGGATGGATTGTACTTATCCTATCAAGATTACTTATTATAACATCATAGATTTCTAAAAGTTGATTTATTGTAGAATCGTTAGGTTAAAACCAGACTGATATTTATATAACAGGTTATTTTCTTTTATAAAATTATAAAGATTTTTGAATAAGATTTTCTCTAGTATTTTACATAATGAGTATGTTAATGAAATTGGCCTTTAGTAGTCCTGAAACTGCGGATCACCCAGGTAATCATTGGAGTTCTAATGAAAGATTAAAAAGTTTAGTGAGAGGGCTTGTGATTGATGGAGTTATCTCTTTCAATACAGCTGGACTAATATTATTAGAACCAGAAGGCTTTGAACAGCTATTTACCTGTCGCCTAAGTCCCCTCTCTCTCTTTATCTCTCTATCTATCTCTCTCTCTCTCTCTCTCTCTCTCGCACTGTATCTCGCCCATTCACGGCCATCCACAGCAGTATCAGTATATTTGGTTGGAGTTCGGTTTTCTGAGTCGATAATGTCTGGGTAATTAGAAAGGTTACTGGGAAAATTGTAGGAACTGCCTCCTGACTCCCCCCCCCCCCACACACACAAACACCCACTCCTCACCCCAGATTAGGAGGGTTAGTGCTAAATAATAAAACCAGCTCAACTTTTCATCAAGGGTCACAAGATGTAAAAAGGACTAGAGCTAATCCCAACCCTAACCCTGGACCTAGCCCCAATGTCCCAACCTTATTAACATCTCAGCTACTTTGACAAAAATTGAGCTGACCTTAACAAATAGGTTTAGCCGATTGGGAGGATTTTAAAGCCCCGATATTATCTAAGGAACCACACTATGGCATATTTCCTAAAACCAGGGTACGTCATTAATTACCGGTATTTTTGTTCTAAAATTTAATTTACACGTTAAGATCGGCAGTAAGAATCATAATGTCAAGACAAAGTTTAGATCCCATGGTAACAATCATAGTGTCATAGACAAGTTAGATCCCATAATAACAGCCATGATGCTATAGACGAGCTAAGATAAGACAGTGACAACCAGTTAAGATCCCATAGTAACAGCCATAGTTGTGTCACAAGTCATACTCCCATAGTTTCACAGACAATGTAAAATCCCATAATAACAACCATAGAATCACAGACAAGTTAAGACCCGTGGAGGGTTTGACTGGTTGATAAAAAAAATAATTCTCGGTTTAATGTGATATGATTTTGCAGTTGTAGGCCTACATCGGTTTTGTTCAAATTAGATACACGATACAAAGTCGGAATTTACGAGTCATATAATTTTTAAGTGTGTTTTCAAGGTCTTTATTGAGCAATAGCGCGAAATATTTTGTCAGAGTAGGTTAGTCTGATGTTCGTTAATTTTAATAAGGTTATTATTAATACGATATTGATACTATTCAAAATTACATTCAATCTAATTATAACAACCTCGATGTAACTGTAAAGTTAAAAAAATCTAAATTCGAAAAAATGTGATATCTGGTGAAGAGTGCTGGTGACGCATTAAGTAATATATAACTCTGCCTTGCTTCCCTTGTAGAATTAATATATTTGAATTGGATATTGAACTATTGCTTTTGTATTGCTTGGTTGTATATGGTTTTAACTATAGCGGCATTAGCCCATTCAACAACAAAAATCAAAATATGTTATAATCTTATATTTTAAAAACCTCAGATTCTAAACTATTTAGAGCAAGGAAGTTTAGAATGAATATACGCTGAACTCTATGAAAACCATGTACTATAGTGTAATGCGCAATACTCTTAATTTATTTTAAAGAGGAATTAATAAGCGGGTTTTTTTTATATATATATCTGAAACGATTGACGAGATGTGACTGCGGGCATTTCAGAGACGTTCAAATTAAAATCTGAAATGAATCTGCTCAGTGATCGATAAGATATACACGTTGTCAATGGTTTTAAAAGAGATTAATGAATGGTCGTGATGTATAGTCCAGTGATTTAATTTTGTTAGTCGAGCAGATGGGGCGAAAATTCCAAGGTCCCGTGTACACATTGGCGTGCACGTAAAAAAATCTCTGAACAGTAGGAATTCGAAATAAGAGTAGGCCGTAGTGCCGCTGTACGGGTAGAATTTCCCTCATAGCAATTTGTCTGGCGTATGCCCGTCTTCATTACCCAGTCAGAGCAGTAGAACGTTAAACCCCATTTCATTTCATTAAATTACCTTTAATACGAACCAAGTCGAGCCATTTTAAAAATGATATTATGCAAAATTAATCACAGTTATTTTCTGATCGAGGGTTATAATAAGTTGCCATACCTCATTAAACTTTGCATTCTGATGAATTTTCTAGCATACTGTACGTGAATATAGCATATACTTTGCGATAAGATGACTTATGAATTCAAACGCTATCTTTGATTTTGTTTGACTTATTGTCGTTTAGAAATTCCTGTCTAGCATTTTTTCTGAACAATAGCCAGTGTGTGCACTATAAGTGGGACATTGATATACATTATTTCGATATTTGACTACTATTTTACCGACTTGGTGCATTTTAGTGCATTGGCTTAGATGGGCTTACTGTTTCTTGAATACCCCAGACCGATAACGTCTAGTATAAAGTAGACAAGGACATTTCGATTCTATATGGTATATTTCGTTTTGACATAAAAATTCCTCAGAATATGAGTAGGCCCGGGTGCCTTATCAGGGCAAAATTTTACTTGGAGCAGAAATATAAGACGTTTAACTCCAATTTATTGGATCATTCATTTTCTTGTCCCAGTTTCCGAACCCTCGCATGTTCCTAGGTTTTGAAGTATATCTAGTGAAATAATGGTCTCGTCTTTTTGAATCATCAAGTTATTGGTCACAGTCATGGTTCATTTCGTTCCCGGAGTTTTACGCCCACTTTAACCAAGGGTGATATCACAGTCATAAGCTAATTCATTTTTATAGTTAGGTAATCATGTCGATTTAGAGATAAAAGTTTTATAGTTTGATCTAATATTGTATAGAGTGGTAGACATAAGAATTATCTTTACAATGTATAACAATCAGTAGATGATGTCATAGCAGGTTATCATATGTCAATATTTGTTTTATCATATCAAATTTAATTCTCATCCGGTTTTAATATATTCACTAGAAATGTTCTCTTTTATTGACAAATTCATCTTTGCTCATAAAATCAGAACATTTCTGCTCATTTGGGTGCTTATATAGTGGGATTAGAGTGGAGTGAGGCACGTTTGTTAATTCGTCGTAATTTGGAGCAGGGGGGGAGTCCGGACCTCAAGACCTAGCCCCCACCCCCACACTTCTCTGGACGCGTGCCTGCTATGGCAAATTACATTGGTAAACACAGATGCAATATCTGGTATATCCCCTTTAAAATGCGATAAATATCTTGCTTTCAAAGTACCGACCCCATGCACTGTTATGTATACATATTAACAGTTGTGGGTATTTGAGGGTGTTTTTATTTAATGTGAGCGATATCTATTTGCAGGGCCGCCTTCTCAGTTGACCTTTGATATATAATTCATATTTCTAATGTACACTGAAAATATTCACGTATACTTCCTTGATAAGTTTGTGAGTGTGAGTCAATTGCGTACAACTGTAGTCGAGACACGCTCCTATGATTTCACCAATGCGCCAGCAGTTTTAACCGGGCTGTGTCGTTTCTATCTATCCTTCTAGGAATTCCCAATGGATCACTTTACCGGCACTACTAATTTGTACGTGGAATATCAGAATCCGATGGTCTCCACATGCTTGTCTAAATTCTCATATTCACTTTTAACCCAGCAACCCATTATTGTTCGATAGAGCGGGGTTGCATGGGCCGAATGTTGCGCGTACGTGTGCGCTGAACTATAAGGTCTGTCATTGAGTCAACTGGCGTGGTTTCGATTCCCAGGTTGTACCTGACAAGGAGCAGGGTCGCCTGTCCAACCTCGTGGGGGTTTTTTCCGGGTCCTACGCGCAAACGAATTATTGAAATAACATAGAACCATATGTTAGTCTCGAAATGACCTAGTTTGTGTCGAGTCGACGTTAAACTCTCTCCCTCTCACTCTCTCTCTATCTCTTTCTCTCTCTCTCTCTCTCGATCGTCGATAGATTAGGTCTCAAAATAAACAAATTCAATGCTATATATATATATATATATCTATTGAAGAAGAAGGTGCCACTATGGTGTTGTTCTTGTGGGATTATTTGGAAGTAAAGATGTCTGAAATTCGTTTCTGTCTTGGTTGATTCACCCGGGTTTAATTTTACCGATGGCCATGCAAATTTTCTGTAAAATCTGCCTTGAAAATTTGTTTGTCTTTTGGTCAATCTGATTAAAACACAGATCCAATTTCGTTTCGTTTTTATAGTTCAAAATTTCGATTTTACTTGTCTTTACTACACTTGGATCTGGAAGCGTTGTTATTTAACTCGTGTTCTGCTTGAAATGAGGGGTCAGCCAATCAAATGGTCTGTCGAATCGGGCGTTTGACCTTTTTTGCGCGGAACCGTGGGTAGACATTAGCGGCAATAGAAATCAAAACAAAGCAAAAGAAGATAAAAAATACATGGCGGTCGCTAATTGGTTAATCGAATGACAAAATCGGGTCAAATGTCGCTTGCTTGGTACCTGACGTCATAGAACGTGAACTCCCACTATAGCTTGTTAGATCTACATGTAGTGTAGGCCATCGAAAGAATAAAAAACGAAACGAAATATAGATCTATATTTTAATTAGATTGTCTTTTGGTCCAAAAAATTAAAATTCATCCTCCAGTCATGCACATTTATTTTCCAATAAAATAAGAAGAGGTGGGGAGAAATGAGGTTTAACGTCCACTGGACACAAATTAGGTAATTTCGGGACAAACACATGGCTCAATGACAGACCTTATGATACAGCGCGCACGTGCTAACCACTCGGCCATCCACCCACCCAACCCCAATAAAATAAAGATTTCGTGTCAATATTGTATAATAGTCATTTGTTCGCTGGGTGGCCGGTGGTCTAACGGTGCCTTTTAAATTATGTGATCTGTCAGTGATTCAAGTGACGCGGTTTGAATTACAAGCATGTAAATGACAAGTAGTAAGGTGGCCGGAATAACCTTGTGTTTTTTATGGGTTCCGTTGTATCTTGCACTACTAAATAATAATACACGCAAACGAATTGCAAGGTAATGGCAGGAGACGTTATCCGAACAACGGCGTTTCCGCCTACGCTTCTTCGCATCCCAACTATCAAGATCTTCAGATAAACAGATTTGTCCGACACTTTGTAGCTCTTAGATGTAAATGTCCACCCATAAAACCTAAATTTTGTTCTTCTGTAATGGTAATTGTCCAGCTCTAACAGCTGCCGTTTGTATACTTTCTATATGAAAAGGAGCGGGCTTAATTTCTAAATGGTCTTGTCCCATCTTACTTATCCAATCTTTTAACTTTATATTCCCCACCCCGAACTTTACGTTCTTCTCAAGATCATTTTCTTTTAAAGGAGCAAAAATCGAACCTTGCCTTCTGTGGCAATCGTGCTTTGTCCATTTGTGAACCAAAATTATGGAATAAACTCCCACACAGTATAATTCACTTCCTGTTTTTAAAACGAAACTCAAAACCCACCTATTTACTCTTACTTTTACAAAATTCTTTTTACATTTCTACACCATTAAATATTACTGTTTATATTTATATGTGGATTTCTATATTTCTAGTTTTACACGAACTACATATTTTTAAAACTCTATCTATATTCTATATTGATATTGTGTTATGTTATTTTTATTGTAAAGCGCATCTGAACATGTTTATCATGAAAGGAGCGCTATATAAATACATGTAATAATAATAATAATATCTTACCAATTTGTACACGGGACAAATTTCCTACCATCCCAATTTCTAGATACCTTTCTTTAACAGCACCACGGGCTAAATCCTAGATTGAAAATCATTTTAATCACCTTTGGACTAATATTATTCGTTTTGATAAGACTGCTTTTATTATTGTGTATGGTGAGAAAGTCTATATTTGCCTGGATATTGAGTTTTCACTAGTATGAATATTGGGTATTTACTAGTATGGAATATTGACTTTTACTAGTCTGGCATCAATATTTTTTATTAGCTCATTAGCTCATTAAAGTCTAGTTTCAAATCACAATTTACAAATTGACGTTTATATAGTTTTATACATATAATATCGCCCTTTGCATATATTCGACGCCCAAGAAATGTACATTATTATTATTATTACTTCTTTATTGTCCCAGGAAAAATCAATTAATATCGTTTTTGGCTAGCTGTAAATTTGTAACTGTAACCAAATCTTCAACGTAAAAACCCCACAAATTTTCACAAATATTTCCGCTATGCAAAGGCTGAATGATATATATATTTGAAATACCAACCACGTGGGAATTCCAGTTTAATTATATGAGGATCGTATATTAGATATTGAAGGTCTATTTACATATTTATGGATTTATAGGTGGGCTTATAATTGTTACACACATACACTCACACCCACCCACGCATATATATTAAAAGGATGCTTACCGTAAAAGGATATCATACATTCTAAAAAATTAAGTAGAAAATACCATTAAAGAAATTTTATGTAGGCATTTAAATAAAATTTCTTTAATGATAATATTTTCTACTTATTTTTTTATTATATATATATATTCTAAAAAATTAAGCAGAAAATATCATTAAAGAAATTTATATATATATATTTGCTGTTGACCTTTTAACAGCGCAATCAGGAAGTCTTTAACCAAGCAAATGATCACGTCAATAAAATTGTCTACTCTTATTCATTAATATCATTGTGAATCAGAATGTGATTTTGTTGAATATGAAGTATTGGTTAAATATAGTGGGAATTTCCCGGGACTATATTTACTGGCAGATTGTCAAATCATAACTGTAATTCAACTCGTTCATTATTAGGGCCAAAATACCCAGAATTAAAGAGTATAAGACCAGTTGGAGCGCAGATCTAAAAGTTCCTTGATTCTGATTGATCGAAAAGTGTGGTTGAATGAGAACCCCGTTTGTTGTGTAAGGTTGATTTACTGCATACGAATATTCCAGTGTACTTCCTTTTTTTCATTTTCATGCTCAATAATCTGTTCTCGTGACTTTGTTAAATGGACAATACACCCTCTTTAAATTGGAAACAGGGAGTGTTTATCTCCTAATTAACAAATTTATGTAATAGTCCGATTGTCATCCATTTCTATTTTTCCGTGTTATCTTAAGGACTAGATCGCCATTCTTGACAGCCGTGCAAACGACACTCCGTCTGATATGACGATTCTTCGCGGCCCACTGGGCATTGACAGATAAATCAAAGATTACAAACTTTTATCACCCTGGTCCCGCGATTATCTCATTATGAAGTATATAAGTACTTGAGTATCTATATTTAAGAGTGATGATTTTCCGTTTCACAAAATGGTCAAAATCCGTTTAAACATTGTGAATTCCGTTTTATGAAGTTGTCACAAGGGAATTCCCACTTATATAGCGCGCGCGAGAGAGAGAGAGAGAGAGAGAGAGAGAGAGTGTGTGTGTGTAAAGACCTTTCAAATCTGGATACAAGCACTAAAATTTGCATAGGTGTCCGTTTAGGGTCATCTTTGAAAGAAAATCGCATTGGTCACTTCAATTTTTAAAATGGTCTCCATTTACAAGATAGCATCCATTTCCGACTCCTATCACCTTAACCCCCGGAAGAGAGAATCGACGGCCAGGCGGAAACTCGCGACAGCACGGCCCGATCTCTCGACTAGGACGCACTTTTATGACCTCAATGTTTGCTCAGCCTGCGTCACGCGGAAAAGCTCAAGAGTGCGGCGAGATCAGCGAGTTGGGTGCAGACTCCCTTCTGGTCCTTCCGACCTCGTCGAATCCCCGCACACGTTTGCATGACCAAATACTCAATGGATACGATAGATCGAGATACTAATTCGATCGATCGAGATACTAATTCGATCGATCGAGATACTAAGTCGATCGATCGAGATACTAAGTCGATCGATCCAGACAGTTTCGGAAAAATAAAATTATTATTTGTTATCCTCTCCAAACCACCGTAGAGTTTAGGCACATCGAACTGCGACGTCTTGGGTTATGTCCCCTACCTTTTACATATAAATATGTACGAAGGTGGTGAAATCCTCAGAGGCCACTATTAATTGTGGTCCGATGCATATGAAACTTACAATAGAAATTAACGGTCAAAAACCTTGGAGGAGTTTTATTTTGGTCAGCACACTATTATAATACTAATATTATTGTTATTTTTGTAGGGTCAATCGCCATGTACGAATTCAACTCAAGGCGTTTGCTGTCTCTGTTTAGAAGGATGTAACTCCACTTGTCCTGGCAGAATGGTTAAAGTGAATTACCCGTCCACTTTCTGTACACAAACATTTTTTACCAGTACCTCTGTCCCCGATGCCGAATCAAGCTCCGGTTCATTCTCTGGTACAGGCTCTAGCACTACCACCGCCACCATTACAGAGTCCGATTTTACTTTCAGCACCACTGAAAGTGGTGATAATGAAGATTTGTTCGCCTGTGTTCCTGAGTGTCCAAAGGGGTATTATGTCAATACGACTGGGTGGTGTGAACAGTGTGGTCAACTTTGTGCTACTTGTGCTGGGGAAAAGGACAAGTGTACTTCTTGTAATGGTGGTTTAGATTTATCTAACTCTACATGTGATGTTACTACCACTGACATGGTGACTGATAATACTACAGCTGCTGATAATGGTAATCTGCCCATCGGTGCTATTGTGGGTGCCGCTGTTGGGGGTTTTGCTTTCTTAGTTCTGGTGATTGTCGGAATTGTATGTTGCTGTCTCGTCAGAAAACGTCAGATGAAGAAGAAAGAAAACCATTATAAACCAGAAGCTATTGAGGTACGTAGTGACACGACAGGGCCGTCGAACTGGAAGGGTTGGGGGTAATTTGCTAATTTTATGTGTTCATTAGCTTATAAATTGTTCCCGGGACAAACCCCTAAAGCCCTATTTGGATCGGTACGCTGGCAGACCCCTCCCACGACTCACGTAATTGGACACCTACAAACCAGACAGTCTGTAATTATCAATTATTATATTTATAAACCAGAGTACAAAAGTAGCATACCCTACCTCGTTACAAGACACTGATCACTACTTATTTGGTATACTGCAATCTCTCAAATACCGTACCCACTGAAAACAATTAACTGTTTGAACAATCAACCAACATATTCCGGTAATTAATCGATACATGTATTTAAAAATTCATTTTTATTTTGCAGAATCAGATCGACCAAAATCGTGATTTAGAAATGTCGGCAGTACAGTCGGTAACCGTAGAAGCAGACGAAGACGACTATGTAAATATGCCCAGACCTGATAAAAAACTGTCACAGAAAATACATATGGGACACGATAAAGTATTGAGATATACCAAAGATCCTAGTCAGGTATTTATTCTTTTCATATATAATCTACACCTTGATACATTAAATGTTAAAATATACAGTCTGTTTTTTCTGTTTATTGGTTAAGCATAATTCTTTTTCGCCCTTACTAGTTACTCTGAGGTGGGTTCTCGAAATATTTTAACTCTGTTTTTTTTATACTTACTGATTAATCTGGAATCTGTTATTGTTCTTAACTTATACGATTCTTTGAAAGACACCTATTTATCATCCGTTTACATGTTGATGTTAATTCGCTTCAGATTTACATTTGTTTAGAGATGTCTTATTAAATTATACTAACATTTCGTCTAGAGAGTCTGTTTTAATTGTTTTGTTGAAATATCAATTAATATTTGTTTTCAGAGCGTCACCGAACGTCTGGCTAGAAAGACAGAACAGTCACCCGAGGATCCCGAGTTGGCTGAATTGCCCCTGGCACCGCCTCCACCCAGCGCACCACACCAATCCATCATTGATGAGATCCTTGAGAGCGACGATAATCAAAGTGCCAATGGCGAACAAGATTCCATTTACATCAATATTCCCAAAACACAGACGGGCCACTATCAGAACGTTTCACTCGATGATGAGGATTATGTAAACGATGACGTTATTGTAAATTTCAGACGACCAACATTGAAGTCCAAACTGGCTAACAATGATGAAGAAATTTACGAAAACCACTATGTGAAGTAAGAAAATAGATGTTATTGTTATTACCACTGTACTATTCTGTGGATATACATTATATGCTATTTTTATTACTAAAATACTGTGAATCTATTGTTATTACTTCTGTACTGTGGATAACATTAGATGCCAGTCTTATTGTTGAATATACATTTAGATACCAGTGTTATTACTTCTGTACTGTAAATATGCATATAAATACTAGTGTCATTACGAAAACCAAGATGATGTGAAGTAAGAAAATGGTATTAATCTGTACTGTGGTGTGGATATATATATACATTAGATGTCATTGTTATTACCACTGTACTATTCTGTGCATTTACATTAATTTACATTATTAATTATATACCGTGGATATATATTACTTCTGTACTGTGAATATATACATTAGATGCGAGTCTTATTACTTCTATCCTGTCCGGTTAATATACATTAGATGCTAGTCGTATTACTGAATATACATTTAGATACTAGTGTTATTACTTCTGTATTGTACCGTGAATATACACGAGATACCAGTGTTATTACTTCTGTACGTGAATATACCGTAAAAGCTTTTGTTATTTCTGCTATAATGCACTGTGAATATTAAATGCCAACGTTACTGCGTCTATAATGTACTGTGAATAAGTGGGCCTGACTAGCAACATTATCAAGTTATTCGGATGGCACGACAACTGAGATCCCGTATATACGTTGACATGCATGTAAAAGTTATTTGATAGTTGGTGCAGAAATGTATTATGTTAAACCATTTCATTCCGTTCCCTAGACCACTAAACTATGATTCAACCAACAAAACCGGTTCAAAATAGCAAACATTTCCTGGATCTTCGCCTCCTGGACCGGCTTAGGGGCTTAGAACTGTTTTATTTGAGACCATCAGATCAACGTTCGTTTTTTGTTGATATAATATATAATATGATGACCCCACCACTCAACAGCACATATTATTGATTTCGCTGTCTATAATGCAACATTGAAATAGATTTATTATTTAAAGGTATTTTATTATAATGTTTACGACTTGTAAAATTATTACCTATTATGATACCATAAACTGTAAAATTATGTATGCAGGTATGTATATAATTTATCCTACGATTTGTATATTTATACGATATATTTTATTAATATATACAATTGTATATAGATAGCCATATTGCAAACTGTCTCTATTTTAGCGTTATGATGGGTTTTTTTATCGCAATGTTTATATACGTATTTATTTTCATATATTATTATTAATTATGAAATTGATTTGTGTATATGATATATGGTAGAGGTTATTCGTAACCACAGTATTTAGGGTTGGCGGGTTAGGGCAACTTTATAATAAACAAGCACATGGGTTAGGGTTAATGTTTATACTATAGCTCAATAATTGTCATTGTTTACAAGTCTTTCCTTATCCCAGTCGTTGTAGATCTAATGTAGTACGTTAAACCCCATTTAATTTGTATTACTACAGGCCCAGCCCAGTACACCACAGTTAGTCCCCGGATCCATTCACTTAATCTAACACAATACGTTTGGGTTTTTTTTGTTTGAAATGTATGTATATGGTATGTCTAGTCCGTAGATGTGTCTTGTGTAACTGTTTATGTGTAGTGCGGTCCTCCTGCATTTACTATTAAGAGGCATAAATCATTATTGATAAATACAGTATTTACGAGGTAATTTTTATTCCTAAACACTGTGGTTATGAATAACATGTTCCATAATTTACATTATTATATAATTATGTTCATGCTCAGCTTGTATATGTTTCTGTATATATAAATAATATTACCTCGGTCTCATCATTATTGTAATCGTTAGGCAGTTTTCATTAAAAGTACAATATTAAATGAGTTATGGTCGTTAGTGTAAACCACAGAAAATAAAAATGAAATAAGGGATACGAGCGACATTTTGCTCGGACTGTGGCGCTATGGCTTACCTTTATGTCAAATATTCTGTTACGTGCACCCCAATATGTACACGGAATCTTGACTTTTTGCCCTACACAAACGACTAGACGCTGCCCTGCCCCACTGACCCGGGGAACCTTCTCTGCCAACACTCGGAGGTAACCCGAGACCTGAACCACTGCGCTCTTCCCCATCCCTGATCTTTAACAAGAATAATTGTTTTACTTAGACCAACTCACAACAGAATAAGGGTAAAAAACATTTTTTCAAACATGATAAGTTGACAAAGTTATTTTATACTAAAGTTTTGGGTGGGTAGCGTGACGTATGCAATTTAGGTGCACGGATTCACGCAAATACATAAAATTTGGGATTTTTCCTTCTATTTTGGCATTGTTTGTATTAATTCAGTGAGCAGCATTTATTTTGAGATCGACTGCACTTATTTTGCGACCGACTCCATTTATTTTGAGACCGATTATTTTTTTCGCTGCCCCCCCCCCCCAACATTTACGGCCCTGGCGATAAGGTCCAGGGAAACCAGTTGGTCTGCCCTTGTCTTTAACTATGCTAATGACTTACGTATTAAAATCCATTTCAAGTACTGCACGGTGTACCCAAAGTAAAATGTATCACCAAGGAAAAAATCGGCTAGAAAATACAAACGGTATGGAATTTAATGTCGCCACATTTTATAATTAACACATGGCAATTTTCCGTTTAATGGTTACGTGTACAATACCATGCACAAACCGAACTAATAATGAAGATGAACATGCGCCACGTATTGTGCTATGAGGGAAATTTTTCCCGGACATCGGTGTTACCGCCTATTGTTTTATGTAAGGACTGGTGCAGGCGCGGATCCAAAAATTGACGTCAAACAGGATGTTGGATTTTTCTGTTTAAGAAGATCAATGTGTATGTATATACGCCAAAATGACGATAGAGATCATGTATTTCTCAAAAAAATTCAAGCCGGGGGGGGGGGGGGGTACATTTTCTTAGGAACCTGGCAAACCCCCTCCTGCAAAAACTCCTGGATCCGTCCCTGCACTGGTGATACAAACAAAGATCTTCTCTCGCTAATCTTCATTTACCCAGTAGGAGTCGAACAGTAGGACGTTAAACCTCATTTTATTTCATTGCATTCGCTAATCTTGTATTCCCCTTTCTTTAAATCGTCTACACATGCCTAGTGGTACTGGTCGGCATTTTCTGTGTCAATTTACAATTGTAATAAATCAACCGTCCTATAAAGAAGACGAGCATACGCCATGCAGTGTGCTATGGGGAGCAACGGCCAACTCTTAGTTCGAATTCCAACTGTCAATTTGTTCTTTAGAGATTTTGCTTTACGAGAACCACAGATCTACATTAGGGGAAAATTCACGCTTAAAAAGCACAGGAACATAATTATTAATAGTGCACACAGTGTTGACGTGTGGCAAAGCATAACCTCGGTGGAACATCAGTCAAAGGTCCGTCATTGAGTCAAGTTGTGTATTTTTGACCCGAACCTTGTAAGTGACAAGGAATAAGAACACCTGCCTAATCTTGTGAGTTTCCTCCGGGTTTAGTGGACGTTAAATACCACTTATCTCCTCTATCTGTCCCTTTACAATTTGGACGATGTAATTGTAAAATTGGTTAAATATGTCACAAAAATACAACGTATACCTATAGATAAAAACCTTTCTTCTCAAATTACATGTCATCATACCCCTGCGATTATTTGTCGGCGATATTTCATCGTAGGGAGCTGTAGATGCTTCCGCCAAGACCCCGAGTCCTCTCAGTTGATTTGATACTTTTTAGCATAAATCCCGTGTGTTATTCTAATATATAAATTTATAAGTCAAAGGGAAGTTCTTTTAGCGTAATTGTTATCTAAAAATGTTTAATCAACGCAGAAAATATATTGTGTATTTATGCATGTTCGCACATCACGCTTCGTCACCGCGGTCAACCCCCATATAGGTGGTATGAAATTAACCAGCATGACCCCGTCAATGTTTCAGGCCATCGAATTTGGGCTCCGGATGAATTGGGCCTGGGCCTCGGGCGAATCACGCTTCATTACCACGATTAACCCACACATATGGTGCTATCAAATTAAGCAGCATGACCCCGTGAATGTAGGCCATCGAATTTGGGCCCCCGGCGAATTTAGGCCCCGGACGAATTGGGCCCATGACGAATTTGGGCTTCGGGTGAATTTGGGCCCCGAGCAAATTAGGCCCCGGACGAATTTGGGACCCGGGGGGATTGAGACCTGGGCGAAGCCGGGTATCCTGCTGGTATTTTATAACACCTGACTAATAGGATCTAGAAATTGACACAAATGGGTCGCAACGCATATAATAATGTAATATGAATGTATATAAACTTATTTACATTCAATTGTTTCTGTTTTACTGTAATTTCCAATCAGTTATGTTCGGTGAACTACGCCAGAAGTCTCAACCGAATGGCAATCTCTATAGCGTCTGGTTATTCCAATCTACACCGATAGTATTTATTTCGCATGCTCTCCAGATGAGAATATTGCGTCACTGTTTGACATAACTTGTGGAATATGTCTTAGTCTCGTTATTCGTGTAAAGACGCCCATCTTTTCACGGTAAGATCACAACATCAATATTGATTTAAATTGACAAATACTTCGTGTTTTCAATCTCGAAGACTTTGGATGATAATGAGTTACAGACTTAGCTACTTTAAGCAACTCGCTAGTCATGACTTAATATTTCAAAAACACCGGAGACAATTTCCTGTCTATGAAAAAGGTACACTATTGTGAAAGATGATTGGTATAATTCCGTTCAGTATTCATATAGATATTTTGAAATGAAATTCCATCGATCTACATATATGCAGCTCGCAATTTAATCAACCGGCCGTAATTTCGTTGTGGGAGAACAGAAGTGATGGACCTATTTTAAATCCGATTGAATCCAAGTCGGAGGGTTATTTTATTAATTAAATGTTAAATAATCAATCTGATTACATACTAGCGTGGATTAAGTCATGAAAAATTTGATTATATCAATCAGAAAAGCTTTGGCCACGCTTTGTTCATATGTATATAGTACCCATATAGTAGTCTTTTCAATTATTTGAATGTAGGGTGTGTCAACACGTGATTATATATAGTGTATTTTAACTTATGGAGAGCCCCCTAGTAATTTACATCCTTGGTGAAAAAACCAGTAGAGTAGTATATAAAACCACTGTATTAAAAACATTATTTATGTTTTAAAATTGTGAAACGGATTAACGTGGATTATCAGACAATACAAGATGTCTTATAAGTTGTTATTAGTATATGTGAGTGTATGTATCACAGACACAATGGTACGTATAATCATGGAACGCGTATTTTATTTACTAACTGGCTAGATTTACTGTAAGCTTATGTAAATAATTTAGAATATTCTTGCTAAACGTATCCGAGACATCTACCTGTAGCCCAGGTCCCTTGTTCTTGTTAATCACCCAACGTCCACTCCTCCTCGACCTGCAATCTAGAACATGAATGGGGTACATATTTCGAATTCAGATATTGAAGTTGGGGGCGATGGGTTGGGGTGTACATAATTTGAAAGCTTAGTAACAGGACATAATTACCGAATGTGAATAAAATTAGTATCGGTATTTAGAGGGACCCGCATTGTTGACTTTTGACCTAAACATGGCTCGTACTGGGGCGGGGGGGGGGGGGTCGCCTGTCCAACCTCGTGGGTTTTCTCCGGGTCCTCCGGTTTCCTCACACTGCTAAAGACCCTACACGCAAGCGAATTATTGAAGTGAAATTGGAGAAAATGTTAGTCCCGAAATGACCTGGGTTGTGTCGAGTTGACGTTAAACCCCATCTCTCTCTCTCTCTCTCTCTCTTTGCTCGGATACGTATCCGCCCTATTTCACCAAACATCGATAGTGTCATAGACAAGGTAAGGTTCCAAAGTAACAAATATAGTGTCACACTCACAGACAAATTAACGTCATAGGATAAACACAGCTGTATGGGCTAACAATCACTGGTTTATTATACGCAAGTACGACGTTTCGACAAGTATTCTCTTATCGTTATCTAGCTTGTTTATAATAAACCAGTTATTGTTATCCCATACAACTGTGTTAGTTCTGTAATGTCTCCAATCGCTAAATAGTAAAAACAGAAAAATTAATGTTCCATGGTAATAACCATAGTGCCATCTAGGCAAGTTAACGTTCTGTAGTAACAACCATAGTGCCACTGACAAGTTAAAGGCTCAATACCACTCTTGTTGTAACTGAATAATATGTCACAATCTATATTCTGGTCAACAAATTGTACTATTTTACAATATTCCAATTAATTGGTGATACAAATTTCTTCTTATCACACCTAATTTGAAAAGCCTAATATAAACCTTTTCAAATGTGACTTGGATTTAAATATATTTTCGAACCCTCTGGACAAGTAAAATAGGATGTAATGGATAATTTACACAACAGGAAGGACACTTAAACATCTAGTACTTAGAATATAGCTATTATTTATTTTCTGGAGCTGTCAAGCCAGCAAGGGTGTTATTGTCCATTTAAAGTTACGTGGTAAAAACAAAAAAAAAATATAACGTTCCACAGTAACAACCATTGTGCCAAAGACAAGTTAACGTTCTGTAGTAACAACCATAGTGCCACAGGCAACTTAACGTTACATAGAAAAAGCAGGCAAATTAACATTCCATGGTAACAACCATAGTGCCACCGACTTTCATTTCAGAATCCAAAACTAACATGCTACAGACGAGTTATTTGGCACTATAACAACATTAACACCGAGGAACGGCGACGGGACTTTACTGACACGGACTGGGAAAATTGACATCGAATCAACTAATACAGCTTGTGTTAACTTCACAAGTGAGCTGACAAGGCTAGCGAAAAAACACATTCCTAATAAAACAGTAATTATCAGACCCAAAGACCAACCATGGATGAATAATGCAATTCGTAAGTTGAGTAGAAAGAAAAATAAAATACATCAAAAGGCGGTTAAAAGAAATCTAGAATCAGATTGGCATAACTTTAGAACTATTAGAAATGAATATATAAACCTAATCAGAAACAGCAAAAAAGAATATTTTGACAAAATCGATAACAAAATCAATAATTGCAATAACTTCGGAAGTAAACACTGGTGGGGCCTTGTCAACTCATTTATGAAAAAGAATCGTGCTGGCACTAGCAATGAACTACCTCCTCTATCAGTAAACGGCACTACATATCATACACCATCCGACAAATGTAACTGCCTTAACGATTTCTTTATAAGCCAATCTAACTTAGATAGTAACAATGCATCACTTCCTGCACTAGAAAGAATACCCAACTCACTAACTAACATTACCCTTAGCCAGATGGAAGTTGAAGACATCATTACTACTATTGACTCATCGAAAGCCAATGGACCCGATGACATCAGCGGAAAACTAATAAAATTAATATCCAAAGAAATCTCTGAACCCTTATGTAAATTATTTAACCACTCCCTCGTATCGAAAACAGTACCGAATATCTGGAAATTTGCCAATGTAACTGCCATATTAAAAAAAGGCGACCCATCAGACTGCGGAAATTATAGGCCCATATCACTACTTAGTATCTTAGTTAAAATATTCCAAAAATGCATTTATAAAAATGTCTTCAACTTTCTAAGGGATAATTCTGTTCTAACTAACCTCCAGAGCGGCTTTTTGCATGGGGATTCTAGTGTTTACCAACTTACCGATATTACACACTACTTTTGTCAAGCCAACGACCAGGGATTCTACACGAGAGCAGAGTTCTGTGACATAAGTAAAGCTTTTGACAGGGTCTGGCATGCTGGACTATGTCACAAGCTTGAAGCTGCGGGGATACGGGGAGACATCCTTCAATGGTTTCAAAATTATTTAGAGGGAAGAACACAGTCTGTTGTTACTGGGGGGTGTCTCCTCCTCCCCTAAAACCATTCCCTCGGGCGTGCCACAGGGCTCTGTTCTCGGTCCTCTCCTTTTTCTCATTTACATAAATGATATTTTAAAAATATTACATCAATTGTTCGACTCTTCGCTGACGACACTTCCCTTTACCTTAAAATTGATGAACCTACCAAATGCGCAAATATTTTAAACAATGACCTGGATAAAATTAATTCATGGGCTAAATCATGGCTGGTATCCTTCAACCCACTAAAGACCGAAACACTAGCACTGACGACCAAACAAAATCCTATTTTACCTACCCTTACTCTAAATAGTGTTCCAATCAAGGAGGTCCCACATCACAAACATTTAGGTCTGACTTTCCAACAAAACTGCAAATGGAACAAACATATTAACGACATTATCGAAAAAACCAGCAAATCTGTCAATTGTTTAAGATCCCTAAAATACAGACTCAACCGTAAATCATTACAAACAATCTACACCCCCTTCATCCTACCTCATTTTGACTATTGTGACGTCATCTGGGACAACTGCACAGACCAACTAGCTAACAAATTAGAGCACCTCCAACTGGATGCTCTTAAGTCCATATGTGGGGCTGTTAGGGGTACCAGCCATAGACTGTTATATAAAGAAACCGGTTTTATTACGCTAAAAGAGAGACGCAGAAGACATAAACTCAAACTCATTTATAAAATTATAAACGGCCTTTCTCCGTCTTATCTTCATGATTTAATCTTGACAAAAAGCGCACATTATAATCTCCGAAACACATGCCTACCTGAATATAAATGTAAAACAAATATTTTCTATAATTCTTTCATACCATCATCAATTAGAGAATGGAACAAATTAGATGCCGACACAAAAAATTCATTATCTCTAAATATTTTCAATTCAAAACTTATGGCTCAAGATTCAACACCACCAAAAACCTTTTCGTTTGGATCCCGCACAAACCAAATTATTCATTCTAAACTGCGTCTCTCTTGCAGCAATCTAAACGGACATAAATTTTTACGTCACATTTCTGACAATCCATCCTGTAATTGTGGACATCAATTTGAAGACACTGAACATTTTTTATTGAAATGCTCCTTATATTCAGATGCCCGAAATAAAACAATAAATAATTTATCGACTATTCATCGAAACACTACTGTTTTATTGTACGGAACTGACGACGTGGAAGACTAACTCAATATTTTTAAAACTGTCCATTCGTTTTTCGAAATCACCAGACGGTTCCAGGGACAACTATAAACACTCATCATTGTAAATATATTCTCACTATAATCATACTTGCACGTGTACATTGATTATTAATTTCTAAAATTTTAATTACATGTATCTATATCTGACAGGGAGAGGGGTTTAATATAGGCTATGCCTGTTCCCCAATCCCTATTCAGATACAAATCTGAATAAAATATTGCTTATAAAAAGTTAGCGTTCGTAATAAGAACCATGATGTCATTGACAAGTTATTAGTTAATTCCCGAAAAATAAACTATTTAGACCTATTCAATGTTTTGCCGTTCCTTTTATCACTGATTTTCAGTTTACCGTACAATTTTTGCACTTTTTCGGGGAATTAACCCATTGATCGATATAGGATTAATTGAAGAATTATTTCAGTTTTGGATAAAAGAAATATGAGGTAGGGGGTTATCATTTTGCTTGGTGTTTCAGACGCTTGGTCGAGCCATAGGCGTACGAGCTGTGTGGGGGGGGGGGGGGCTCAGGGGGGCGGTCGCCCCCACATTTTGGGCACCAAATACTGGGAAAATTTGGGCACACAATTGTACTTTGTAAAAGTTGTATAAAAAATATTGTGTTCTTGAATGTGTCCAACAGCGAATTTAAATTCAGAGTGTCTATAGTTAGGCAATTAAATAGAAATCTTACGACTCGTACCCTCTATTGTTTGGAGTACAGTAAGCCACGAGTTACAGTTACATAAACAACTGTTTTTAGTTGTGTATATTACAAGTAAATAAAATTTAGTTCTCTTTTATTGATGATTTAGAAATTAAGAACTTATTCATCGCAAAAGAGATATTATTATTATTATGTAACATAATAAGAACCTAACTACATTTTTTGGGCACCAACCACCACCGCCCCCCCCCCCCCCCAGTCAAAAATTTCCCCGTACGCCTATGGGTCGACCGGTACTTATACTGTAAATAATCATTCCAGTTCACAGTACAAATTTTGATAATTAACTCAATTTATTTCATACAACTGATGTAAAAAAAAAATATGTTTTCGTTGAATATGAAGTATATCGTTACGTAATGTCTATTGATTGAATATACATGGTGAGAATTTCTCGGGATTACTGGGTGTTAATCGTCTTGACCTGATTTGTTCCGCACCTTTATTGTTTCCGTTTAATCAAAAACGAGCATTCTGATTGGTCGGTTTAATGAGACCAGATCGTCCGTGCTTCTCTAAAGATGGATTAATACATCCTGCCAATGTAATTGGGTGTAATGTCTCTTTTTCTTATCAATACAATACGGCGGTCATCTTGGGACAAAAATAATGGTCAATTTTATACGCCCACATTTCAGTATGTCTGTCAACAATTGGCCTGTGAACGCAATCGAAGCTAAAGAAGTTTTTAACGATTTTTTTTTCAAATGTGATGGGAAGCGTTGCAGTCATAAAAGGATGAACCGTACCGATTTTTAGCGTTCCGCAACAATTATATGGTCATTTGTATACGCCCACATTTCGGTGAGGCCGTGGGTGTGGTATGTCGTCACCCAGCTGGGCAGTTCATCCGGCCGTTCGTCAACAATTGACGCGATAGAGGCTATGGTTTTTATCGGAAAGGATGAACCGTATCGATTTTTAGCGTTGCGCAACAACCATATGGTCATTTGTATACGCCCACGTTTCGGTGAGGCCGTGGGCGTGGTATGTCGCCACCCAGCCGGACAGTTCATCCGGCAATAGAGGCTATGGTTTTTATCGGATTTGTTAAAAATTTGTCATGAAGCATTAGGACATGAGAGGACAAACTCTCTCTGTATTCCGTGTTCTACGACTTTCCGATTTAAAGTTATGAAGCCTTTGTCACGCCCGTCTGATTATTAATCCGATTTGTTTCAAATTTGGAGTGAAGCATGTGAGTCATGAGAGGACCAACCCTATCAATATTCAGCATTACCAAACTTTCTGTTCCAGGGTTATACCTCCTTTTCTGAAAACCTTGCGAACGCAACAGAGGCAACAATTTGTAACATATTCATCCAAGCGTGTGATATCCAGATATAGCTATTTCTTGAGGGGAATTTCTACGCTTTGCGTGGCTGCCTTTATTTCTATGGTTACATGTACAAAGCGAGGTGGCAGAATGTTTTGGGGCTTAGCTAATGTGACGCGATATCTGGCGAGATTTAAGTTGGGTCATGTCATGGCATCGTGTACATCATGAGAAATATCGCTTCAAAAATTTAGAACGAATTACCATAACGACAAACTCTCCGGTAACTATTTTATCGACCCACTTTTCACTATTTGTGATAGAATGACTCATTTCAGTTCAAGTTGTTATGCGCTGTGTTGAGAATTTTCCGTTTGGATCTGTGCATTTGAATGTATGCGTTTATTTGCGCAAAGCCTCGAAGAATGTTTCAACTGTTGTGGTGGACAAAACAAGACGCCGCTACAAGATTACATCTAGTATTTATAGTGATTTTAGAATATAGAATTTACCTTTTCTTGTCTATAACAAAACTGATTACATCTAATATTTATAGTGATTTTAGAATATAGAATTTACCTTCTCTTGTCTATAACAATGCTGAAAAGTGTCCTGAGTCACTTTTTGAAAGCAGACAACTATAATAATACTATCATTATTGTTATTTTTTAGGGTATATCGCCATGTGCTAATTTATCATCTCCAGGCGATTGCTGTCTCTGTTCAGCAGCAGGCTGTAATATAAATTGTCCTAACGAATTGTTTAAAATAAATCGCTCGTCCACTTTTTGCAAACCAGCTCTATACACCAGTACCACTGACACTATTATAGAGTTCAACTCAACCTCCAGCACTACTGAAAGTGGTGATACTGAAGATAATTTCGTCGTCTGTGTTGTGGAGTGCCCAAGCGGGTCGTATGCCGATACGACTGGGTGGTGTGTACAATGTGGTCAACTTTGTGCTACTTGTGCTGGGGAAAAGGACAAGTGTACTTCTTGTAATGGTGGTTTAGATTTATCTAACTCTACATGTGATGTTACTACCACTGACATGATGACTGATAATACTACAGCTACTGATAGTGGTGATCTGCACGTCGGTGCTATTGTCGGTGGGTCTGTTGGTGGCGCTGCTTTCCTAGTTCTGGTGGTAGTTGGAATCGTATGCTTTTGTCTAAAATTTCCGAAAAAGAACAAAGACCAAATAACGATGGTAAGTATGGGTGAATTTGACTTGTATTGAACACATGCAATAATACAATCATGTGATAAATTACATGTACACATATTATATCACAGGTAAATTACACATATTATATAGAATTATATCACTGATAAATTACACAGAAACGTTCCCATAGTTTTACATATATAAACTACTCTATCACCCAGTCGACCGGAAAGCAAGATAACCTTGAAAAGCTTATGTTACATTTTTTTACGACCATAATTGCACATTTACCTTCACCCTCCCACCCCTTTTTGAATTTTGGACGTCCCAAAAAGGTATCCAGATACGACCACCGCCAACCACCCCGTCCATATCCTGGTATATAACTGGTACTACGTCGAACGTCATTGGATGACAGTCCTAAATCTCGATTATCATGTTTTAGAAGTAGACATTATCCGACTAGTTCCGATAATGTCATATTTCGTTATATTGCAGAACCAGACTGGCGATTTAGAAATGTTGCCAGTACAGCAGAAAACCGAGGAAGGTGAAATTTTAACAGAACAGAAGAACACGAAAGACAAACGTGACTATGAAAATGTTCCTAAATTTGATGAACACTTGGCAACGGACGTACAGAGACAACACGATAAAAAATATAGATATACCAAAGATCCATGTCAGGTAAACATTAATTTCATATAGACCCTTTGGCGTTTCCATCACGCTTATGGCGATCTTGACGCGCTCTGAGACCATTTTCCGTCGCCGTAGCAGCGCACTAAGGACGTCACCCAGGTCTGACGTGGGTATAATATGGATTTGGTACTCTGGAAATCTTCAAGTGATTCTGGGTACAGTTCCTCTAAATATTTTGGTGCTTAAGGTTAATTATCTAGATCCTGTCCTCAAAAAACTATATGTCTGGCCCCGAGTTCACAAAGCATTCTCAGACTTAAGTTAAGAATTTACTCAACTTTCAGTCACTGTTTATGAGAAATATCTGTGATCCAGAAACGCAACACTTTGCACATAGTTTCTTATTGGTGTATTTGATACATTTAAACAACAAAAGTTTTATAAAGGGCTATATTTTAGTTAAAATAAGGCAAACAATTTTGAGTAAATTCTTAACTTAAGTCTGAGAATGTTTTGTGAACTTGGGGCCTGGTCTCGTTCTTACTGGTTAATCCCAGCCTAAACATAATTAATCCGGGTCGAGTCCCCGAACAATCTTAAAGTCTGTTTCGTCTTACTGATTAATCTGGGCCGAGAAGATCTTAAGTCTGTTTTCGCGTTTACTGGTTAATCTTGACTCGAAAGATCTTAAAAGTCTGCTTTTGTGTTTTTCAAATAATAACTATTACTGGTTAATGTGGACTCGGTCATCGAAAGATCGAAGATCTGTTTTTTCGTTCTTACCATTAGATTGATTTGAATTGCAGAGTTACATTAGAAACAAGCCAACAGTGATGTCCCCCGCCGAAATCCCAAAATAAATAGATGACACATATTAATTAATCGCACATTTTTTTTTAAAAAGTATCAAGCAAACAAACTGATTATCAACTATACACTACGTTCCATCACTCTCTATCAGATAGAATCAAAGTTATCTTGTCCAAAGCATCGACCAATGAAATTGCTTAAATCTGCTTAGCTTTAGCTTGAAATGTTAATCACTGAACTCACCTTATGAACATCTTCGTCAAGTTAAAACATTCTACCTCAATTAAAAGCAGAGTTGTTATTTTCCAAAGTCTTGACCAATCGAATTGCTTATCGCTCCTTAGCCTCTGCAGGAAATTCTAATCATCGAACTTAGTCAAGGTAATATGATGAATCTATACTCAGAGTTCCATCACTCTCACTTAAATATAACCAACGTTATCGTGCCCCAAAGCATCAACCAATCAGATTGCTTATCTCTGCTTACCGTAAGCAGACAATGTTTATTACCGACCTCCAAGGCATTCACCTAATACTCACCTACACCAAGTTTGAACATTCTAGCTAAATTAGAATGAGAGTTATTGTGTTCCAAAGTCTCTGGTCCCGTGTACACATTGGCTTGCACGTAAAAGATCCCTTGGCAGTTGGAATTCGATATATGAGTAGGCCGTGGCGCCGCTGCCCGGGCAAAATTTTCCAGATAGCACACTGTATGGCGTATGCCCGTCTTCATTAGCCCAGGTTAGGAGCAGAACAGTAGGACGTTAAACCCCATTTCATTTCATTTCATTTTCCAAAGTCTCGGCCAATCAAATTGCTTATCGTTCTGCTTACCCTGAGCAGAAAATGTTGATTATCGAACTTACTGTCTGATTCATCGTAAATTTTAAACGGATTTTTTCGATTATGAACAAACTACTTAACTTTGGTTATTATAAACTTACCTGTGTGTTTGTAATGAACTCCCGTTCGATAAAATCCATTGCACAACTAATTATCACAACGATGAGAACAATTTCTCTCTTGAAAAATTTGAAAATTTACTTGTAATTTCGACAGAGTCGATGTCAACAATGTCTTCGTGACGTATTGGTCGAATCCAATATACCTGTTGCGGGGGTTGGTTAACATTGAAAGATAGTTTGACAGCGCGATCATTTTAATCGTATATGGGTTTGGGCGACGAAAAATATCAATTGAAGGCAATTACATAGGAGATTTATATGGAAACCATTGATCGCCAGTCTATCAAATTTTCTTCACAATTAAAATATCACTGATTGCACGGATACTCGTAAAAAAAAAGTCATAAATAAACTATAAATATCCTATCTTCTTTATGTTATAAATAATTTAACAAGGATCATGAAGCTTACCTCCGAATCCTCTGAGTGTATTTTTAATTTTATACGCATTCTTTCGATCGAATAATAACCGCTTCAGTAACATCTTTAAGCGTGTTGCGGCAGCCCTCAGCGTGTCTATTGCCGTATTGGGTGCCCGGGTGGGTATATAATGCTACTAAGCCCGTATGACCCCGTAAGAAGCGGAACATTAATTCTCGATTCGACAGTTTTGACCGAAGTGTGATAAAGCCCGTAAAACGAATGTATAGTTGTGTTTGTGCGGCATGCGTGTTCAAAAGTAAATAATCCCATCCGAGTCGCTAATCAAATAATTAGAACAAAATATTTCAAAAAGTAAAGCTATAAAATTTGCAGAGATTTTACTAGAATGTAAAAGACGGTAACTAAATACAGGAATGCGGGTAGTTATGTGTGCGAACGCTCAAACTCAATGCCAATTGTCGTAGGTATCCAGACCACTCGGACCAAAGACTACTCGGACTAAGACCAGTCGGACCAAAACAAGACCAGTCGGACCAATTAAATTATATTATAAGGCTAGACAATATGCTATTTATTTATTATTAAATCACAATACAAAGAAGCCAATATTTCTTATACGGAATTCTTATATTTAAAGTTGTTTGGTTCAATTTTGTGTACGTAAATAAATCAACGATTAGTTTTAAAATTAATTAATAATGGTGCCCCAAAAAAATATCAATCTAAGCAAATAATTCTTATACGGAATTCTTATATTTAAAGTTGTTTGGTTCAATTTTGTGTACGTAAATAAATCAACGATTAGTTTTAAAATTAATTAATAATGGTGCCCCAAAAAAATATCAATCTAATTTTTCTTTACTCTTGCAATGAGACTCGGTATGTCCAGACTTTTGACAGTTTCTACATATACGGGTATACTGTTCTTGTCTGATAGCCTAATTTTTTACTTTTTCCACATTCGAGGTATCCCCAGTGGTTTCATTCCGTTCTACCCCACTAACCCCTGGGTTACTATATATGGGGGTGGGGGGTGGAGACACGTTTTCAAGTTATCCGCCCTTGATGCGTTAATATAAACAGCACATAATAATACGAAGACCGGACGTTTATATGCCCCTTTTTAAACGTGACTACAAGTGTGGTTCTCGATATTTTGCGATTTGGAATACAATTATCAATTTATTCAAACAACACGTTATTATTAGTTCGAGTAGTCATATTAAAACACACACAATTATCAATTTATTCAAATAACACTTTATTATTGGTTCGAGTAGTCATATTAAAATAAACACAATTATCAATTTATTAAAATAACACTTTATTATTGGTTCGAGTAATTATATTAAAACAAACGCAATTATCAATTTATTAAAACAACATTTTATTATTGGTCCGAGTCGTCTTTCTGTTGGGTCCGAATAGTCTTTTTGTATGGTCCGAGTAGTCTATTTGTTTGGGCTGAGTGGTCTATCACTTGATCCGACTGGTCTTGAACCGAGTGATCTTTGGTCCGAGTGGTCATGGATTCTTGTCGTAATTGTACTTGAATTTCCTATGCTGTCACCCCTAATACGAAATGATATCTTCCGCAGAGTGACGTAACCATCTTCCATATTGGTATTTTTCTCTGGGAAAAGTTTGTGATATTTCAATTTTTCAAGAGAGAACTTGTTTTCATCGTTGTGATAATTAGTTGTGCAATGGATTTTATCGAACGGGAGTTCATTACAAACACACAGGTAAGTTTATAATAACCAACGTTAAGTAGTTTGTTCATAATCGAAGAAATCCGTTTAAAATTTACGATGAATCAGACAGTAGTCAATGTAATGATGTAATAAAACTATACTCCTAATGTCATCCCTCTCACTCAATTACAACTAAAGTTATCGTGTCCCAAAGCATCAACCAATCAAATTGCTTATCTCTGCTTACCCTAAGCAGAACATGCTCATCTTCAAACTCCATCGAGGTATTGACCTAATCAACACCTACACCAAGTTTGAACATTCTAGCTCAATTAGAAATTGAGTTATTGTGTTTCAATGTCTCAGCCAATCAAATTGCTTGTCGCTCTGCTTTCCCTGAGCAGAAAATGCTGATTATCGAACTTAGTCAAGGTATTGATGTAATGAAACTATACACCAAGTTTCATCACTCTCGCTTAATTAGAACTAAAATTATCGTGTCCCAAAGCAACAACCAATCAAATTGCTTATCTCTGCTTACCCTAAGCAGAAAATGCTCGTCTTCGAAGTCCATCAGGGCATTGACCCAATAAACATCTACATCAAGTTTGAACATTCTAGCTAATTAGAAGGAGAGTTATAGTGTGGCGGACAGACAGACGGACATACAGACGGACGAACCCATTTTAATAGTCCCCTGCTTTTTTTCGAAATGCGGGGGACAAATTATTTGCACAGAAATAAATACGCAGAAATCATCTTTAGGCCTACACATGGCCATTTTTAAAAAATTAAATTCGTAATAAATCATCACCGTACATTTTGATGTTTAATCGTCTTAGAAACCAGGCCCTGGACATCAGCAACGTAGCATTCGGTCTTATTAAAATTATGCCAACATTTCATTTTAATGTTTTGGTGAAATATTGCTTGTTTTCAGAGCGCCACCGAACGTCTGGCTAAACAGAGAGCACAGCAACCCGATGATCCATTGTCGGCTGTTTTACCCCACGAAAGGACTTCATTCAGTGCCCCACAATCAGTTATCTATAATGAAATTTCTGAGAATCAAAGTACCACTGGCGAACAAGATTCCATTTACATCAATATTCCCGAAACACAGACAGGCCACTATCAGAACATTTCACTTGACGAGAACGAATATGTAAACGATGGCTTTATTGCAGATTTCAAGTCCAAACGGACTAATAATGATGAACAACAAATTTACCAAAACCAAGATGTGTCGTAAAAAGTTCACCATTAGCACTTTCCTTAATTTGCCAAATTTTGTAATTTACATTCTCACCTAGGATTGACATTATCTTTTGTCACCATATATTGTTATTACTTCTATGTTGTACTATGAATATACACTAGAGGCTATTGTTATTGCCTCTATAATGTACTGTCAAATTGCAGAAGATGCTATTGTTATTGCTTGTTGTGACACCCTCATTTGTTTAAACGTATCTTCTTGTTAAGCGAATGAAAAGTCTTAGTCAGTTTCCCTTATGAAAAAGGCATGGGTATATTAATGTTTCTAGAAAATGTTTTCAGAATTTTTAAAAATTTCGTTCTTAATGATAGGCTTAGTAGTGTCTCAGCTTTCATAACAACAATGCGTATCTTTGTCTTATTGTGCGAATGAATGTCGTTCTCTGGCTGTAGTGGAATACCGCATTTTATCAGTGAAATAAAAGTGTTATTCCACTGGCTAAAGTAGTCCATGTTGTTTTTACCTAAAATGATTGTAAAATCATAAAATAAATAGAACATTTGTCGTTTTGTCGTGAATAACATATTTTATTTCATCTCTAAGCAAGAAAACGTTTATATTTTCACTCATGCTACGCATTCGTGAAAATATAAGTTTTCTTGCTTCTCGATGAAATAAAATATGTTATTCACGACAAAACGACAAATATCCTCTATATAATCGTCTTATAAAGTATTTTGTAAATAATTTTAAATAATTGCATTAGCCTAGTATTTTATGAAGTTGATTTCCTCATTGATGATATGGATAGATAAAAGATGTTTATAGTAGCAGGGGTGGATCCAGGATTTTTTGCAGGAGGGGGTTTGCCAGGATCCTGTTAAGGAAATTTGATAGATGACAATGTATGATGCCATCATCGTCTCTAAATTACGTAGGTATACATACACAATAAGCTTTTTAAAGAGAGAAATCCAACACCCAGTTCGCCCCCAATCTTTATAATGAATCAATAGGATTACATTGTGATTCAATTTCATTGATGCAAACCATTAATTGTGATATCACACGCCTGTATCATTATTTCGCGCTTTGAATATACTAACAATACTAGCAATACAGAATAACATTATTTATTTGCTGCTTGTGTATATTATGATGTGTGTTCCTTATTGATAATGAAATAATGGCCTACCATACATCATCACCTCGTTATTGGGATGAAAGCGCTCTTTTTATTCATCATTGAAATATATTTATTAATAATAAATATTTTACTATATTTTTTACGATTTGTGAAATTATATATATATATTATATATTATATATTTGATATATTTTAAATTATGTAAGCTGTGTATATATTTTTCCTATGATTTGTAAATTTATACTAACGGTGCACGGGATAGTCATGCCAGTATCCGGAAGGAGAAGTCAACCAAAATTTATTGCTGAATATCAGAGACCAAACGATTCTCAATTTTAGATCTTTAAACCAACACAGAAGTATATGTTTAGTAATGTAATCACATATGGGTTTTTTTTTAAATTAAATGATAAAAATACGAAAAGATATTTTATAAGACACAAGATAATTTGTTCGCGTATCACAATGTCAAAAATGTAAAGACTGCTGCTGTGTAATTAGGCACATCTGTAACACTATTAGTGATAACAGTATATCAGTTTAGTAAATATAGCATTTATTTACAACAGGAACAGAATATCAACAGATACTTAAATACAACAGGAACATCAACAATACAGGATAGTCGGACCGCGGACTCCATCTTCTAGTGGCAGTGATGAGCCCTCTAAAGTCCGAGACCCTCCATCGGATTTTCAAAGTCCTGGACATTGGGACCACTTTAATCCATGATCACATAAAATAGTCTGATTTCTTGATTGAATCTCGTATTATCGTCTGGTTCTTACAGTGTTCTACGTTCGTCATAAATCGACTACGTGTGACGTACGGCCTGCGCGGATACGATCGTTGATGTTGTTACAACTTACATCCATATGTGTGGAATAATGCTGCCTAAGTTCTGGTCACGTGTGTTGGAGAGAGAGAGGGGGGGGGGGCGGGTGACGTCCACTCGACACAAACTAGGTCATTTCAGGACTAAGACATGGTTCAATTTTATTTCAATAATTCGCTAGAGCGTAGGGGTCTTTAGCATTAGGATGAAACCGGATGACCCGGAGAAAACCCACGAGGTTGGACAGGCGAACCTACTCCCTGTCATGTACAAGGGGGGAATTAAACCACGTCACTTGACTCAATGACAGTCCTCATGATCCATCACGCACGCGTTAACACCCCCCCCCCGTCATCTCATTGGCTGTGAGTTTGCATGAATACTAGGATTCTAACCCCCAATCATTTAAAAGGTTGCATCCTTAGATGGTGTAATTTTTTTTTTAAAATGACCCCAAAATAAAAACAATATATATTTACCGTTTATTTGTAACACGACGACTTGCTGATTTTGGGGTTCCTTCCACTCCGTGCAACTGATTAGTGTGTAGGTGTGTCATTATATTCAGGATTGTACCGCAATTGCGCAACATAATATACTCTTCAAAAAAAGTAGGGGATATTGAAATGCAAATACCTATGCAGGTTGTGATATGATAAATATTCATGGCCACTTGACATGCTTTGAGAGTATGTTCACACATGAAGAACTTATCGCCCCAACAGAACCACTGAGCTGCACATGCGACACGCTATAGCGCCATACACGTGGGAGGGGTTCATTGTCAAATTTGACACTTCAAGGAAGGGTTGATGAAAACTGCCGCGTGCCGGTTTGCCTATCCATGTTTGCTTTCCTATCGGTTCTGGCATAAGATTTACTGTTTAGCGTATCTTTGCTTTAGTGTGTTACGTTTAATTTGATCTGGAGACGTGTTCGTCGACGTCAACGTCAACCGACAACACTGCAAGAATTGGCCGTGGCACTGCAAGAGGAATGGGTCAGGTTGCTGAATGTCTGAGGATTGGTGGAGCAATTACTCATTATTAAGACAAAAATCAAAAACGTCCATTTTCACTTTTGACGGTGTATCCCTTTACGAGTGAAATGGGGCCGTCAGATTAGCCGCCCATAGGAACTGTTTATGTTCATGCGTAGGCAATTGGCCTGTTATTAACATAGACTGGTCATCTCTTATAAAAACAGCAGTGCATTTCCGCAGTTTTGTATTGTTTCTGAATATCCCCTACTCTTTTTCAAGAGTATATTATGATAAAAGGATTGGTGAGATAATTCATTTTTTAAACGTTTATCATAACATTGTCGTCAAAATCTTTATCTTATAGACTTCAACCCTTTAGTGACTTGGCCTAATATTGCACTGCAAAATCCTCCGATCTACCGGCTTGGATTCAGTCCGATTACAAAAGAGACCAACCGATAGGTAGCATATAGGTGGCACATGGTTGTTTTATCGAATGTTGTGGAATTTCCAGTTCATTATATGTGTGTTAATACTGAACCTGAATGGAACCAAACAATTTTAGGACTGGTAGTTTTTCAGAGCTTAACCTTTCAGAATATTGTCGGGATTAAAAATCGTTCAGCGCCTTTAATGATAGGGTAGAAATGAAATTTAAAGTCTCGGCAACACAATACATTTTGAGAATTGTGCAGTGCTAAGAAGGAATATTTCCCCCGGAAATCGAAGCAAAACATATGTTTTGAAGACCTAGGCTATCCAAATCTTGATTTTGTGTGTGGATTATGTGCATATTAACGATTTGTTTGTAAAATTTCCGCCTTATATATTGGTTGAGTAACCAAACAGTGAATCGGAACTAACTGCACGTCAAGTCAACTTGACAGTAACTGAGGGCCATGGTCAACTGTACAGCTGAACGCCAAGCCAACTTTACACTAATTGAAATCGACACTAAGTGAACTCCAAGTTAACTCTACACTAACATGGGGTTAGGGTGGCTAAGAGCCAAGAGGGTAAGACGCTGGCTCGCTAGCCTGAAGGTCGGGTGTTCGATCCCTGCATTGGCCGAGAAAGTTCATCCAGATTTTCCGGCGTGGTTTCCCCCTTGTCAGTGATGCAGGACAGCTGTCTAGTCGTTCGGATGGGACGAAAAACCGAAGTCCCGTGTACACATTGGCGTGCACGTAAAATATCTTGACAGTTGGAATTCGATATAAGAGTAGGCCGTAGTGCCGCTGTCCGTGCAAAATTTCACTCATAGCAAATGTATGGCGTATGCCCGTCTTCATTAGCCCAGTTCGGAGCAGAACAGTAGGACGTTAAACCCATTTTCATTTCATTTCATTTCTACACTAACAGGACGCCAACTTGACCCAAACTGAACGTCAAGTCAAATCGACACTAACTAAAATCTAAGTCAATTCGACAGTAACTGCAAGTCAACTCGACACAAACTGAAATCCAAGTCAACTCGACACTAACTGAACGGCAAGTTAACTTGACCATAACCGAAATCCAAGCCAACTCTACACTAACTGAACGCCAAGTCATTTTCACACTAAATGAACATCAAGTCAATTCTACACTAACTAAACTCCAAGTCAACTCCACTCGAGCTGAACGGCAAGACTCAAACTCAAACCCAATGCTAACCAATCACCAAGTCAACACTACACTAACTGAAATCTAAGTCAGTTACACTTACTGAGCGACAAGTGAACGTGACAGTAACTGAACATCGGACCTGTACACTAAATGCACGCCAAGTCTCTACACTAAATGAACGCAAAATTAACTCGACACTAAATGAACGTAAAGTCAACTCGACACTAAATGAACGTAAAGTCAACTCGACACTAACTGAACACCACATTAACTCGACACTAACTGAACGCTACGGCAATTTGACACTAACTAAACTTAGATCACCCTAATTTGACATGACACAATACTGACATACTGTACATGCAATGGTTGTACAGCCACATAGCCATTTGAAAGGACCAATGAAATGGGGTTTAACATCCTACTTTGAAAGGACCAAGATTACATAGTATTACAATCCAATCTTCAATGCTCAAAAAGATGTCATAAGCCTGGAAATGTCCTGGGTTTAAAGAGCTAAATCGCTAATATTTTGGACCTAGAAATTGGCACAAATGAGACACATATAATAATGTAATATGAATTTATATAAACAGTTTTACATTAAATCGTGTCCGTTTTACTGTGAATTGTCATCAGTTAAGTTCGGCGAAATCTCAACCGCAAGTCAGTTTCTAGCGTCTGGATATTCCAGTCAACACCGATATTATTTATTGCGCATGCTCTCCAAATAAGAATATGATATCACCGTTTGACATGACTTGTGGAATATGTGTAGCCTCATTCTGTGAGCACCTTGTTACAAATGGCGCTGAAACGCATTATGGTACACGATTTCAATGTCGAAGATTTTGGATGATATTGAGTTACGGAAGTCTCAACCGCAAGTCAGTTTCTAGCGTCTGGATATTCCAGTCAACACCGATATTATTTATTGCGCATGCTCTCCAAATAAGAATATGATATCACCGTTTGACATGACTTGTGGAATATGTCTAGCCTCATTCTGTGAGCACCTTGTTACAAATGGCGCTGAAACGCATTATGGTACACGATTTCAATGTCGAAGATTTTGGATGATATTGAGTTACGGACTTAGCTACTTTAACATTGGTTGGGAGGGTTGGGATGGCCTAGTGGTCTAGAGTGCCGCGCTTCGACCTCTGGCTGGCCGGTCACCTCTGGCTTGCGGCTGTGGTTTCGAGCCCTGGTGTGAGCGTATGTGGCATGGAGATAGGGGCGCCTTCTCAACCTCGTGGGTTTCCTCCGGGCACTCCGGTTTCCTCCCACTGCTAAAGACCTCTACGCGCAAGCGAATTATTGAAATAAAATTAAACCATAGGTTAGTCCCGAAATGACCTAGTTGTGTCGAGTGGACGTTAAACCCCATTTCTCTCTCTCTCTCTCACTTTAACATTGGAGTCAGTTGGAGGTCTTCATTAGCCCAGTTCGGAGCAAAACAGTAGGACGTTAAACCCCATTTCATTTCATTTCATTTCAGTTGGAGGTCATATGGGGTGGGATGGTCGGTTATACCAAAACAAAACATTTATTGTTAATTTTAACAACTTTATGGAAGTTTATTCATCATTATACATTAATTTTTAAACGACGTTTAGAATTTGACATTTTCACAATTCAGTATACAATAAATGAAAGAAAGAAAAATATGTATAATATACAATACTATTAATATAACCATTAAGCCTATAAATAGTTTCACTATTAAAAAGAAATTTTAAAAAAAACAAACAAAAAACAAACAAAAAATTAATAAATTTTGACAAATAAATTGGCTGTACGCCTTTTTAATAAATGCTAAATATACGCAATATTCAATATATTTTTTTATTTTCTTTTTTTTAAAATTGTTTTCTTGTTTTTTTCTTTGGAAATACTTGGACAAATCAGTTTTAAAACAACACTTATTTACAGATATTAGATAATTTAAACAAAAATAGTCTTGTTATGTCTGACAGCATAAAAAAAGAAAATACATATTGCTGACTACAACGATTATGGAGATCACAATTTATATGTATATTCAGGGGCGCCGGAACCCGGGTACACAAATGGTACCCTGCCCTTTTCTTGGGTATACATGTATACCCATGCCCTAATGATGAAAGTTTTCATGATACGAAAATTGTGAATATTCAGGCTTTTGTCTCTTTCATTATCTTTATTTTAAAGGGTTTTTTTTTTATTATTTTTTTTTGGTGGAATTTGGAATGCTAGAGGCGCTCTAAACAGCGTTCTTGGAATTGACAAATTTCAAAATTTTCTAGAGGTCGGGAGGAGAGAACCCCTGGACGCCCCCACCCCCCTTATCTTTTGGTAACCTGGCCCTCACACCTTTCCGTCGCCCCTGCGTATATTTATAGGTATTATGTCACCATGACGTTGACAACTTTTCACAAAGATTCAGTTAGTGTACTTGAGATTAACATGAACCACTTTTATTCACTGGAATATATCTGAAACTCTGTGAAAAGTTGTCAACGTCATGGTGACTGGTGAACTTAGGGGCGAGCTTTTTTGATAAACCATCACATCATGCCAGGATGAATCTGACTTATGACAAGTACAACAGCTGTACAATAACCTGGAGCTGAGTTTAACGTCGTTGCAGACATCATGGATTTATGTTGTCATATTAAAAGTCAAAAGTCTGTTAAGCGATGTGCCACTGTCCAAGGAACAGGTAAGTTCCATGTTGATCGTGCATGAATTGAAGGTGCATTGGGCCTTTTTACGAAGCGCGCCCAACCCCACAATTCCGGCACAGTTCCGGTCCAGAAATTGCCGTCATACTTTCGATTTTTGTTGTCTCCAGCTATTAATAGAAGTCAACACCCTTCTTTAAACCCTAATAAAAAAGGTCTCCTCAGTTTAATGTTACGATTTTTGTGAGTAACCAGTTTTAAAATTTTTAAATGGTGGCCTAAGTTACACTTGTCACGCCACCAACTCGACGGTAACTGCAGGACATAATGAAAAATTTATTAGCTATTAATATGTTTATCCGACGGGGCGTTAGTAGGGCCTATTTATTTATAGACAAAAACAATCAACATTATCATATAATATAAATACAATGTTCAATATTATGCTAATTTTGGTAATCTCAATCGCCTCAAACGAAGTCCTCTTCGCTGCAACTGCAACGAATATTGGTCCAAACTGTTTCACAGCCGTAATGCGAAAAAAGCCTTCTTTAAATACTGTACAAGATGGCTGACCTTTAAGGTCACGCCCGGTAAAGTTCTATGTGTGACGTCACATCATATGACGCCAATAACACGTGCGTTGTTTACATCGGGTGTAGTACTACAAACTGGTTCGGGGAGAATTTGCGACTTTTACTCATTACGCTTCCGCATACATTCACTCTAAATAACAAATATTTTATCTATAAATTCTTCAAATACCTTTACTGTCCCTAGCAATTAAAACTATTCTTTAGAATGTGATTTGCAGAAGAAAATAATTAATATTGGGAGATAAATAACTTGCCCCGGTGATGTCACCCCTATCAATGACATTGACGGTCAATCGAATATTTACTGCTGATCAGTTTGATATTGGTCTTCAAACCCAAGGTGAATGTCCTCAACCAAACGGAAGCCGCACATAAATTTCCACTCTCTAATTACAACGTTTTTGGTCAAAGCAATATTTGATTGTAGTCTACGCCGGGACAATTTTGACAGGGGCAATAGAGGCTAGCCAATTTGGTTAACAAAGTGAGTTTAACCTTTAAACGAATTAAACATACATTATGCAAGAGCTAAATATGCCAATTGCAGGTCTTTCTTTAGGCCTGAAATGTTATCTAAATTATTAACTAGACATTAATTAACTTATACAGACCATAATCAACTCTGGGTGACATCGCTAGCCTGCGATATTTACTGGATTATGATCCCATTTGCTGCTCGACTTCCATTCATAATTTAATCATGAAATGGATGATCGAGGCTATGTTTATTATCGTACAGACTTTAGTAATGATGACCGAGACTAGGCCGAAATTTCAATCGCTTAATTCTCGGTTCATAGTGGATCAATTTGTCTGAAATTTTCACCAAATTGCCTTTACATTATCTAGTTTTTAACTATTATAGTGAAAAATGCCAGCTCCTTATCGTATCTCCCATAATGTATCTTTAATTCAAATTTAAAAATTTACAACAGTACAGTTTGTCCAACACACATACATAATTTTTGTCCATCCAGCGTTCGTGCGATAACGTTTCAAATAATGACAAAGCCATCTTCATTAGATCAGTCCATCATAAAATCATTTGTGTTAACCAATCAAATGATATTTGACGTTTTGTTATGATATTCAACAAGAACCATTCAAATTCCCCGAATCTCAGCATATCAAGTCATTGAATGTTATAAATCAGTTCAAATAGAAGAGGGGATACGGACGTGCCGGTTTCATTTGTTCTTTAATTAAAGGAACCACTCTTCAGTTAAATGGAATAACAACAAACGAACAGTACGTGCACAATACTTCATATTGGGATTTCTTGTGTGCCTGATATTCCAGGCTTAAGTTCCGCACTCTCAATGCAAAAATAGGAAGTAAAAACATCTTACAAGGCGATATAGTTCTCAGAATATGACGAAGTTTCCGCTATTCACTTTACTCCAAAATTTTTTCGAATAAAAACTTAAAAGTGCATCAATTTGACGCCATATCCTTTATCCTTTTTATAATCACCATACTGTCCACGTGATTTGCATTGATCTAGTTTACATGTGTTTTCTAACTTTCCAAGCATTTTTCCATATATTTGAAAGACATACGGTGGAATGAAAACGGAAATATATACCCAGTGGTACAGACACGTGCGTGAATATTGCCCATGCGTCCGGGCCGTACACCTCAACTTGTATTGGATTATGCTGTGGTGTCTGCGTTTCAAACGTGTTCAGTGCCCACATTGCAAAATTGCTTAGCAACAAAAATGTTACAAATTCTCGTCCTGGTTTCTTCCGTTCTTGTGCTGATGAAGCAGCCGATAGTCGATCTCCGGCTAAAATGAATATCGTCTGCATCGTAGCTTGAATCACCATGAATGTGTTCGACAGCATGGTCAACCAACTGCGCATGTCCTCTATTCTCATAATGGCAGCTGTTAAACTGAAGGTAGCGAATCCTAGTAATCCTGTGTATGAGATCAGTATTAGAGTGTCTTCCAGGTCAGACTTCCGCTCAGCATGGAAATGCAAATCCTTCATGCGCATGACAGCTAATACGAGCGCCAGTGTCGTCAATGAATATATAATGGTCTCAGACAAATGTGTAAGAAAAATGGCGGACAGGTCAACGGTCTGCGTTTTTTGATTTATTAGTACATAAAAGGCAATGATCGAAATAATAGCGCTGACGGTCAGCAGAATTCCTAGAAACAGACCACGACTTGAGCCTGCGCAATCAACACTCATTCTCTGTGATCGCATATCTTCATCATCATCATCATCCTCCTCAGAATCGCTTCTAAATTTTGATGGTTTTTCACCAACGTTCTTCCACATGATATAGAGAATACCTGGAATATATAAAAATTAGAGTCGAATCGCATTGGTTATTCTGCAGAGGTAATGGATTTAAGGTTCGTGTGGCTGCTAATTTACTGAACCCTCCATAGAGTCGAAATTTCAAAGTAAGCCCCCTGGTATATATCTGCCGTTCCTACATCCGGAAATTCGACATTACCATTTGGGATTGGAAGCCGGGCTACACAAGGGGGCACTCTGTACCATAAACGGTCGCTTTTTTCCAGTAGTGAGTTAAAATATAACTTATTTCAAGCAAACCCTACAGTAGTAAAGAAAATAAACGACATTTCATTGGACTATTCTACCCTTGTAGTGTGTTTTGTGATCTTCCCCACTGCATATTTTTTTTATCCTGTTTTAAATCTTCGCCCCTTTTCCATCAGTATGATGTCCGTCTACGGATAAAATACGCCGGACAAATTAATAAATAATTCAACTCAAGGGAAGTAACTATAACCTACCAGCACACATCAAACTGTATTCTATAGTGCATGGGTATAAGTATGGTCCGGCTGATTCTACAGCTTGTCCCATCATATCTGACCAATGACAGGATTTATTATCGGCTACGTCACCATTAGTTGCCACTGAAATATACAACAAATAATAATAGAACATTACACAAGGGCATAGGAGAGAGAAATGGGGTTTAACGTCCGCTCCACACACACTAGATCATTTCGGGACTAATATATGGTTCATTTGTATTTCAATTGGTATTGAGTAGAGGGGGAAACCGGGGGACACCGAGAAAATCCACGTTGTTGGACAGACGACCCTGCGATTTGTCAAGTACAGGCGGAAAATAGATACCACGCCACGTGTCTCAATATCAGGCCTTCTTATATTGACCCCAACCCCTAATGCTATATAACTAGTAATACCAGGTATTATATTGTAATGTAGTGTTCACGAGAACATGTAAAGAGTGATATACAGTGACATGTAATCGGTTATATACGGGGAAATGAAATAGAACAAGAATATATCATGATATACTGGGTTGTGGTTTGTTGGCTTAATGAACCACAAAATCGTAAACAAGGAGATAACTTCGTTATCGTGGCGTAATATTGGGCTTTGTCCACGACAATACACAACAAATGTCTCGGATTTCATTATCATTCGATTTTCTGGCGTGGTCACCCCTTGTCAGTGATGCAGGACGGAGGGCCTGACAAGGACAGCTGTCTAGTCATTCGGATGAGACGAAAAACCGAGGTCCCGTGTAGACATTGGCGTGCGCGTAAAAGATCCCTTGACAGTTGGAATTCGATATAAGGGTAGGCCGTAGTGCCGCTGTCCGGGCAAAATTTCCCTCATAGCACACTGTATGGTGTATGCCCGTCTTCATTAGCTCAGTTCGGAGCAAAACAGTAGGGCGTTAAACCCCATTTCATTTCATTTTTTCATTATCATTCACTTTAGAGTCATCAGCTTACGTAAGTTTTCTCAAAATTACTCACATGCATGGAGTTGTCTGCCCGTGTGAGAATCGTTACTAATAGTATAATTCATCACGTGACCATTTGTGACTATCTCATGTGGGTGTTCTGTGTGATGTTCGTCATGTGAATTGTGATGTTGGTGAATAACGTGTAATGTTTCGACCACTATACTTCTGAACCAAACACAGATATTTGTCGCACACATGTGCATTAAACCAAATCGTGCAAGTATTCTGTATCTGTGGATACACATCTGCAATGCAACAATATAAACATACTTTTATAATTAAGTTATATTTATAGCACGTCTTTCATGAGTTAACAAGTTTATGGTGGGTCAATTTGACTGAAGTATTTTCAGCAAACTGCCTTTACATTATCTAGTTTTTAACTATTATAGTGAGAACTGCCAGATCGGTATAATGTATCTTAAACATGACAAGACCATAATCAACTCTCGATACCATCTGATGGGTCAGATTTTCAACATGTTTGAATCTGTTTGAAATGGATAATCGAGACTTTGTTTATTATCGTAACAACCGTTACAATGACAATCGGGGCTGCAGTGTTATTAAAATGGGGATTTCGTGACTCGAAGTTTAGTAATCTGACTGACATTTTCAGCATATTTCCTTTACATTATATTTTTTCAACTGTTATAGCGAGAACTGTCAGTTCTTTATGCCGTTTTAACTTTGTTATTATGTCCTACATTGGGTGTCAAAAGTTGGGCTGATATCTAATTTGTTAAACAAAAGGGTTTGATGAAACTGAATATACAAATTTGCCCCGCAACTCTCCGCACCCTCAGACTCACCCAAATGACGTGAACGCTGCGTTTTATTGAAATATGTATGCTGTGAAAGTTCAAAAGAATTAGCCTTATCTAGAAATTAGGATATAATGCACCTGAGAAATTTGATAAGAATATTATATATTTTGGTAGATATGACTATATAGAGGAGAGGATAAAGACTACATACGACGTCGTCAATAAAGTAAGCAAAAGACTTGCAAGTCACCATTACTGATGTTTCTTTTCGGTGGATAAAATATTCAACAAATCCATGTTTTAATAATTTTTTGATAAAAATATACACATTTCAGATTGCCTGGAACCGTTGAAGATTAGAGGTTAACGGTCAAGTTCATGTACTTACCTTTGAGTTCATGAATATAAGATACAATTGTATAAAAGTAAAGAGTAGATGCAGAAAGGGTTTAAAGGCCTGCATAACGTTTGTACAATATTCGGGTCCATCATATAACTGGAAATATTGACCAAACTGTAGACCTGAGTGAATCATACTACCAATACCAAAACCTAACAAAATAATAAAAAAAACATTTCAAAAGTTCGAACTGACTACATATTGCATACAGTTATAGGTGAACTATTGGTATAGACTGTAATAATACTATGGACTCGGTTATCCTTTGGTTACCACAGTAATTTAACAGTTCGTTGCCGAACTAAAGTAATCGTTGGTTACCATACTAACGTAACCGTTGGTTACCATACTAACGTAACCTTTGGTTACCATACTAATGTAACCACTGGTTACCGCAGATATTTAAATTCTGCTCCATGGACCACTCCCGAACTTCATTTCATCTGAAATAGAGTTCCCATTTACTTGTTGCTGTTTCTCTTTCACGGTGGCTAATTAGCATGTTCTGGTACTGATAATGACTACAATTTACTTTTACTTTTAATCAATTAAGTTTTGTATTGGAAGGGAGTAGGACGGTAAAACCGAACTTACCGACTGCCCCCAGTCTTAAATAGAAACTTCCGGTGTGATGGTTGGTATCCATGGAAATATGCCGTTTACGTCGATTACTTTTAGTAGACTCGCTGTCTCCCTTGGCCCAGGATTTAGCCCATGCTTTAGTCCAGGACATGGAACGGGAAAGAGTGCGTGTGAGAAACTCCGTCTTGAGCCGGTTACGTCGTAACAGATACAGGTAGACGTAGACGAGAAAGATAATACTGACCAAATACAGGTAGAGATAAAAGGCCTAAAATTAGAAAAAAAAAGATAAATCTTTTTATTTTCAGACGCATTAGCGTCTTGGTGATTGCCACTTGTTTAGCAAACATAAGTTTCAACTTGCCGTGATTATTACGTTACATCAAAGACGTTCAAAATAATTTTTTTAATTGTAGTGAGAGTGATAATGCCACTATAACTATAAAGTGATCAGTGCTAAGGTATGGCCACTCCTACCGCATCTCAATTCCTGTTGTACATTGTTTATGGCATAATGCTATTTGTAATATTAACAAAAACAAAAGATTTTCAATTTCAGAAAATAATATGTCTTGAGTGTTTTGTTGAATGCCGTCGTACCTTTGTTCCAGATTTCTGTCCATATTATAAAGCAGATAAAATCAACTGTATGTCAAGTATCGACACATAAAAAAGTTAGAGAAACAAATTTTAATCGTCCCATCACCAATATAACTAACACTTCAGTCAGATCCAAGCAATAGGTTTTTGGACTTGAAGGAAAAAGGTTTAGATTCTTTAACCTCGAGTCGATTGGTGGACCTAATGCGTGCAAGGAAGGTCATAAGAAGACTTCTTAATGTGTAGATGGTGAGTTCAATTTCAAACTTGCATGCCTTTTGGGGGTTTTTTTCCCGCGTACCTCGGTTTATCTCACCATAATTATGTTAGACATTCGCTCCCTTTCTCTCTTCTGAAGTTTTAAACTCACCTCAAAAACATATCCACTGTCTGGTTGAACGAATATTTCTGTAAGTGGTATAACAGCCCCTAGTACTACTATCAGTATACCATACAAACCACTTAATATAACAAACAACCCGTCCCTAAAATACATTTATAAATTATTCTATAGCAATCTGATCAACAATACAACACATAAAATATACATAGAGAAATTGTGTTTAAAGCTCACTCGACTCAAACTAGGTCATTTCGGGACTAACATGTGGTTCAATCTTATTTCAATAATTCGCTTGCGCGTAGGGGTCTTTAGCTGTGGGAGGAAACCATAGGCCCCGGAGAAACCCCACGAGCTTGGCCAGGCGAACCTACTCCTTGTCACGTACAAGCGGAGAATCGAAACCACACCCTTGCCTCAATTACAGACCTTATGATCTAACGCGCACGCGTTAAACTATTCAGCTACCTAACCCCCTAATAAACTGTAAACAAGAGGAATAAATATTTAAATATAGAAAGGAGGTGTCTCCATCGCTATATGTATTTTATCATATTAAAATGTCCATATCCATACAAATTTCATGGTTTTCAAGGAGTTAATAGTTTGGGAAGCATAAGTTAATACTAAAGCACTTACAACAATACTTTATGATTGATATACACGTATTACAATTTATTAATATTTATAACAATATTTTACAACTGATAAATAGTTATTATAACACTTATTATAACAAACACCTTACAATTGATATACAATATAACTAATACTTACAATAATACTTTACGTGCTGCCAGACGCGCTGCCTTCTTGTTACTATGATGTTTTGTTCCATTTTTACCAACAACCAGACCATTCTCTACCTTCGTCCCGTTACCATTGGCCGTACCGTTACCATCTTTAACAATAAAATAATATGTCGCATTAAAGTCAACTACAATTCCAATATATTGTATTACCATCCATTAGAGTGGGGACGGATCGGGTTTATAAATCATTAATGAGAGGGTGGGGTGGGACTGGAGTAAATCAGCATATTTGAGATTTTTGTAAGGTTGTGTTTGACTCCTGAAGTGACTGTATCGGGGAGGACGGGTGTTTAGTGCGTGAATATTAAAACTATGTACAAAATCTATCTGCTAGATGTTCAGGTCTTGATCAACAAAATGGTTCCTATCATTTACTGTAAGTTGTTTAAATATATACTAACGGGTTTAGGGTATTTTCGATTTGACTAGTGTTCGAGTTAACCAATTAGATGGTGTGAAAAAGTTGAGACAAATCTGCCAAGCCATCACTGATATATGCACGTTTAAGCTTTCAATTTAAAGGGTAATAAAAATCTGTTAGTGGTTTTAGGGTGTCTGACGAACGCTCATAAAGAATTCTTCGCTTTGATTAGGTCCGTGATTTTTTAATTTTTTACATTTAAAATAAATTTCAACTGAGTATTCAATTTTAGTAGCTACATAAGGTAGCTACGAACCTGTTCATCTACTAGGAAATGTTGTAATATCGTACCAAAACATAAAATCATTGAATAGTCTAATCACACTACAAAACTCTCATTGTAAACTCCTTTCATTCATTCGGTTCATTCATTCATTCGTTCTTTAATTCATCCATTCATTCTTTCTCTAATCGCTTTTTCAATTACCCATTCTTTCTCCAATTATTTAATTCATTCATTCTTTCACTAGTACATCTATTCTCATTCATTCGCCGATTTACCCATTCATTTGATAACAATATTCATTTAAAATAGTAAAACGTTACCAGAATTATCGCTATCACTATCGTCTTCGCTATCCGAATTCCTTCCAAAGATGAACATGCCTATCCTCGATGATGGTGCTGAGTCGCGACGATGAATACTAACTCTACGCAAAACATTACCAAAGATGCTATGTTTTCTTCTTCCGGACGATTTATCTTTCTGATGAGATTCCACCAGATCAGGATCGGAAGGTGCTGGTGTTTCCATAGTTTCGCTTACAAGTGTTTATCTTTTTTCACGTTGATATAGCTAATACAGTATTCTTTCTTTCTTTTTTAATAAAGTCCAGTCACTAAAATAGTTGTTTCCTGGTGATTCAGTTCTCACAAAAACAGTTAAATTTAAATTTCCAAGAAATGAATCAAAACCAACACTAGGTTTGTATTATTGTACAGGACTCGGAAATCTGTTTAGATTTATATTTTAGAATCCCTGGACTAAGAAATACATCTCCGTAAGATCTAATATTGAGTAGAGAATATCAGTGTTAAAATTCGCTTGAACGATGGTCCTGTATAAAATGACGATACATCCACATGTTCAAGATACTCTCAATACGTTGGAAAAGATAGATCGCGAACTTTATCGAAAACACAATGAAATGTGTAGAATCAAAACGAAAGTAGTTTTGACCGTAATGAACCACGCGCCCGTTACAGTATCTAATTATAAAATAAAGTTGAAATTACCACATAGCGTTTTTAAGTACTGGTAGCGTTCCGATGAACACAATTGTAACTCGGCAACTGATAAAAAAAAAGGCACGCATTAACAGTCGTCTCCTCTGCACCAAGGACTTCTTTTATGCTTCAATTCAACAAAACTGGATCAGACATGCGTTTAATAAAGAGAGGTTCGTTGAAAGTGACTTTGAGACGTCCACACAGAAAACTGTTAATGAAAATACGTCATTGTTATTATGTATGTAAAGTAGATAGATATCTCGTATTAGATCGCATTACATTCAAACACAGAAAAAAATACACCTATGTCTTGTAAAGCGTTTGGTGGAGATACGATAGATATAAACTCTTAGATTTATATCAATGTTATTTGTTTGCATTTTTTTTTAACATAACATGTTTTGAAAGGGGTTATTTATCGATTACATCAGAACAAAACAGAAAATGCATATTAAGGGCGTAGACATTGGGAACAAAATAACTTTTTATATATTAATGTAACTAAATTGCAGGTCACATCTCCTCCGCCTGTTTTATGGGAACTATTATTTATCGACTCTTTTGTCAAATATGACGTCACATAAAGTATAATTAATTATTTGCATATTTTAATGCTTTGAAAAACAATATAACTAGATAGCTGAATAGGTATTGGGGTTCCCTCATTATGACGTAGTTTTGAAGGTGCGCGTGTCTTTATGACGTAAATATACCCTCAGGACACTTGAACTCAGATTGATCGCAGGTGTTTCCAAATCGGAATTACATGACGTCAGTATAATATTGTACTCTAATTACAAATTCCATATTGTTTAAATGTTTCTGAAAAATATTTTTAAAAATATCAAATATATATTTTTTTCTTTCTTTTTTTTTCAATATCAAACTTCTAGGCATAGCTTCGCCACGACACGTTAGGTTAACAGAGTTCAAATCCAGAACGTTTGAACTAGTAGAACATATAAATTAATAGGGAATCAGAGTGAAATTACGATAAATTCCGTTCATGCAACTGGAAATACGGATAACATTAGTAGGGATTACTTGGGAAAAGATGGTAATTTTATTTCTATGGTTATGCGTGCCATGGGCATCGGACATTTTGAGACTAATATATAGTTATGTTTGATTTTTGATGTTCACGTGAACAATGTTGGTGATGTGAATCTTTCCCAGGAAGAAGCGTATAGGCCCACTTTTCTTCTATTCCAACCGTCAACAGTTAATCATTTGCACGCCAGTGTGTACTCAGCCAGACTTTGGTGTCTAGGTCTATCCTAACGATAATTTTGACTTGAATTTTAGTCGTAAATTTACCCCTATAATTTTACAGTGTATAAAAACTGACCAAGTAATTAGATGGAGGGTCTTTATTGAAGTGTGACCAGTAAAATCTAATATCCGTTATGTTTTAAGACTAGATATTTCAAACACTGATTTTTACACACGTGCAGGGATTGCGAGAGAAACCATCACTACCAACAAATCAAAGGCATGACAGTATATTCAAGCCCGGTTCACACTTGTTAACTGTGCCGACCGACTGCAAGGTTGACCAGGAAAAAAGAAGGTTGTCTATTCCTCGTGATGACAAATCATTCACCTGCTGTGATTAGCAAAGAGCTGACTCAGCTGAGATAGAATATCGGCGACAGCGTGCCCTGAATTATCGTTGACATTGTGCGCTGATCTGCAACAAGGAAATGAAATAAAATGGGACTTAACGTCTCACTTTTCTGCACGACTAGACGCTGTCCTTGCCAGACCCTCCATTCTGCACCCCTGACAAGGGGGAAAAGACACTGGAAAATCCCAGGATTGAACCCCTGACCTACTGTTGAGAGATCCGTCGCCTTAGGCCCGCTTTACATGTACACGTTTCCGCCGGCGAAAAAATCGGTCTAATGCAAATGTAATGGAACAATTTCCATGTAAGCGACTTTTTCGCAGCGTTTTTTCTTGCGTGAAGTTTGAGCCTGCGTGCCTAACCAGATTTTTAAGTTCTGGCGATGGCTAAAGACTGAATTTTCAGCGATATTTTTGTACACCTGGAAATACAAAATATGTCGCCGCAGCTCCCTACGACAAGGTACACTGAAATATCTGCTGAAAAATTGATGATTATGTTCGATATTAAATTAGCAATGAAATTGTACATGTGACTCGTCGGAAGGTATCAAGATAAAATGGGTTTGGTTGATGTGTTTTTTTGTTGTTTTTTTTTGTGGGGGGGACGGGGTATTAATTCATTTTATGGATCATTCAGACAGATAAACAAACATATGATGTATATACCGGCATTTTATTTTGTCAAGTAGATTGTTCAATATAATTTCATCTAAAGAATCATGTTAAATATGTGGAGTGTCATTGATCTCAACTGTTTAAAATGGCACAATGACAAAGTGTCGTTAATCATCAGGGTAGTTTAAATATTGTTAAAGGTGGCACAGCTCGGTTTGCTAGAAAATACAGTTGTAAATACTTGAAATTAGTCTTGGTCACCTAGTGCGACCTTATCTTCTATACAGATTAGACCCAGAGCTATAGAACCAAACTGGACTCTAAAAACTAATAAAAATGTAATAAAACCAAAATTTGTGTGAATGTCTTTTCAGTTATATAAAAGATCATGTTAAAAGTTCCAAGTCATTACTTTGACTCCAGTTTTCTGACTGAATGTTTGAATGCCATTAGAAATCACAAAAAGACGATTACGAAATGTACTTTTAACAAAATACCTTTTGTTTTGCCTATCCCGATACAAGCAGTCTTTTCCGGTATTATTACTTAATAACGGCAAAGACATACTTTGACTGTCTACACCCATTAACATTGCATAGACATGTATGATATGCACAGAGTACTTTGACAGCCTTATTTCCTGGTTTTCTGAGTGAACACGTCCCCACAATGACGTGGTCCAGACCAACAGAAGAGACATACACTTTGTGCGATATGCGGTCAACTTAATTGTTTGGGGTTTCTTTTTAACAGGTGACCTTCACCTGTCTTTGATTTATGTAAACTTCCAAAGCGGAACGGTGTTCGTACATCGAGACTATGTATGATAGTGACTACTTCCGCCGCTGAAAGGCACGTTTCAAAATAACATCTTGTAATGTTTATGTACACTTACCAAACGGGAGCAGTGCTCGTATGATAGTGACTATGCTAAAATGAACATACCAATCTATACAAGTAGAGTGACGCGTGCTTCATAATTCATAACGAATTCAAATTCAAATGACTTCAGGCGGTAGATGTCGTTTATCTTATTTTTATTTATGATGAATGAGAGTCGTATAAGGGCTGTTTAAGGAGACTTGAATTAAAATACCATGAATATTGGATTATAGGCTACTTTGACGCGTCATAGATGATGGCGATTGGCAGGCGGATCATTAGTTGACTTGACTGTATAATGTTATAAGATAACATTTCGCTTATATAACGCTAGTTGTGGCCAACAAGACACTCATTTGGTCTACAGTGCATTGTCCAAATTGTCCGAGATGGTCCATGTCAAATTCGTCTTGTGTCCGTTTTGGAACACGAACAAAAAGGGTTCTCTCCCTTTTGTTATTGATCCAGTCATCGTCAGGGGCGCCGGAACGGCGCGAGGGCCAGGGTACCAAAAGATAGAGGGGGGGGGGGTCTCTCCCTATCCTGCCCCTAGAAAATTTTGAAATTTGTCAATTTCGAGAACGATGTTTAGAGCGCCTCTAGCATTCCAAATTCCAACATAAAACTCTTTAAAATACATGATAATGAAAGAGACAAAAGCATGCACTGATAGCTGATAATAAGAGTGCGAGAGCCGGTTCGCGCCCGATCAGAGAGCAATTCCATATATATCATTTAAAAATGAATAGACTAGTAAAAAGGTTGAAAACTTTCATTATTAGGGCATGGGTATATGTATACCCCAGAAAAGGGCAGGGTACCATTTGTATACCCTGGTACCCGGGTTCCGGTGCCCCTGGTCATCGTTTTTTTGTAACATCGGGTTTTTTTTATTCAAATTATCAAATCGTCATTGGGCCCATCGTTATCGTACATCGCACCCCAACACCAATAGTGAATTCAGTACATTTAATATGTACGTCACCATCATCAAAAGTCGTGAATAGAGAGATGTCTTTCAAAGGTAGGTGAAGACCGGAACCGGAGGAGGTGGAGGGGGGCAGTAGCGGGAGAAAATCCACAAAGTTACGCAGGCGACCCTATTGATTGCTACGTACAAGCCTGGGATCGAATCCATAACTTAAAACAGAAGCATAGGTGTGAAATATATTCGCAATGTCAATAAACATGGACATTACCTTTCAACAACTGACTTTAAAGCTACAAACCAATCACCAGAAGTTCGATTACAATTTAACAAACACAAATGACGAAATGTACTCTAGTCGACTGACACAGAAGGGGAAGAACCAGAGGGAAAAGGAGAGAAATGATGTTTAACATCTATTTGACAAAAACTAGGTCCATTTTCTTTCAAGAATTCGCTTGTGTGTCGGAGTCGGAGACAACGCACGCGGTTGGGCAGGCGACCTTACTCCTTGTCAACCATTCTGGCGCCCAAATCCCAAGGAAAAGAACGATGCGACCCTTCAAAATGGTTGACCTTTTCTGTGATGTTAAGTGGCTGAGTAAACGGAGCTTTGGTCTTGATGTTTGGGGCTATAGCCTGATGTTTGTTCCGTGCAACAGGTGTACACCGATCTTTAAATCAAGTGGAAGCTGCTTGGATTTCAAATTAGAAAAAGTTGAACCGCTTTCAAATATCCTAGTCTTATTCACCACAATGAAGTGCGCACCTTAGTCAAAAGTGCATTAAAGTCGATGATGAATGAATCCGTCTATTAATAATATCCGCATTTCCATTCGCGCTTCCCCTCTCTAATGTTTGTTACAGAATATCAGAGACGCACGTTAAATGCCAAAGCCCACTGAAGAAACTGGACGCCAACTCTCTCCAAGATAATATATTTAACACGCAGACATGGACAAGCTTTAGACGTTACAGTGAATTATGAGTTCAACGACATGGACTACTTCCGATCCAACCATCCGCCATCTTTTATTTGGTATTGTTTATGATAGTATGGAATAACCATGGCAATATAGCCAATGTACAGACGTCAGTCAGAAATATAAATGGCTGAGGTACTCTGAATAGTTTTTTTTTTAAAAATATATTCCAGAACAGAACAAATGGAAGTATATTAGATGTTTTAATTGTCAAAAATATCGGATCACTTGTGGGGCTGACAACGAAAGTATTTCCAGTCGTTCGGATAGGTCAAAAAACGGAGCTTAAGCGGTTTACACGTAAAACAACCCCACCCCGCCACATTGAAAACGTTACCACATAGATCGGAAGACGAAGGTAAAACGGTTTACACACAAAATAACCTTGGAAATCGAAAAACAGTACTATCAGTAGACGCAAACACCACTGATCGGCAAAATTCACCCACCCCATCACATTGCGCACGTTACCATATAGAAATAAAAATTATCATGGCTTTTCGGGCTTATGTTTTAAGTATCAGTATCTGCCACGAGATTGATAAAACTAATACTTGAACTGGGCATTAAGAAGCATTCCTATGACAGCATAATGACTCGAGAAAGGTTTTGAAAAACTGATCGTATTTGGCGTGTTGCAATCTTACCACCTCATCAAAACAATTATAGACTAATAAAGGGCCCCAAAACTACGTGAGAACGTTAACTTCTTTAGGGGCCCCGAGCCTACCATATCGCAGGCTCTTAAGTCAGTCGGATAACAACTACCATTAACTCCGAAAGCAATCACAAGAATTTCATCTCGCGGATATAAACAATGTGTATAAATTCAAAGATAGTTGGAAAAAAACTTTATATACAATCAAAATGAGTTCCCCAAAAATGCAATCAAAATGAGATACCCAAAAACTATATATATCAAAATGAACTCCTAAAAACTAAATATCAAAATGATCTCCCCCCAAAAAACTATACAATCAAAATGAGCTCCCCAAAAATTACATATACAATCAAATGCCCTAACCAATCCTAAATTTATATCGGTCCAAAAAGCTAAGATATTTTATGGGTCGCTTTTAGTGCATTTCTAGGCTAACCATGTGATATAGATGGCGCCTTCATAATTACGTCAATATTATTTGACGCAAAATTTAATTTAAATAAATTTAAATATTAGATTTAGTCATACCTGAATCAGACGAAGAAGAACACAGAATAAAAAAAATCCGAACATAAATCTCAGAAATACCCAGCTCGACCGATTTTAGAAAACTTTGAATACAGCGTAAAAGTATTCAAATCGCAATTACATTGTAACAAAACGAACACAAATTAATTCGCGATATTTTTTCCTTTTATATTATAACGAAACATCTCTGCATAATGACCGACCTGCGCGCAACAGTCGCGTTGGCGTAAACACAAAAAGAATATTTAAAAGTTGAAAGTTTACACAGATAATCTTGTCGTCTGCAGAAAAGAATAAGTCGGCCATCTTGAATAAAGAAATGCTACCGCCTCAATAGATATTGTATTTATTACACAGGCTGAAAGTGGGATATTTCAGTAATAAATCACGTGATACGGAGGTCATGGAAACTGGTCGTGTTTTGTTAAAGAGATATAATCTCGTTGTTTCAGGAAACAGAGTTTCGAGTACGAATCCGGGTCCCAAGCTCGGGTCCTAAGCCCGGGTGCTAAGCCCGGGTCTCACTTGTCAGTGTAGTGTCATAATTGTTATGTCGGTTGGGTCGAAAGTGCGAGGTGTGAACTCGAAAACTTTAAGCAGACATCGCCTTTCTGGGCAAAAGCCACATCTTAACGATTATTGGTATACATATATATATATTTATTAAAATTACTAAGGTAATACTCACCTGCCCTAATCTCCTGGTTTTGCGTTCCCCTCCCTGCTAATGCAAACTAATTATTGAAATATAAATATTCTTTATGACAATCCCGAAATGAACTAGTTTGTATTTAGAGAACGTTAAACACCTTTACTTGAGATAATATATTTTGAAGAATGAATATTATGCATTTTTCGCAACAAAATATGGCCAACATAGCTTCAGTAGCTCAATATATACCTTTAAACCATGTGTAGAGTGACCTTGTAGCACGTGGACAAGACAAATGGCGGGAGAATGAAGCATAACACTATAGATGAATGGCTAATGGGTTGTATTATCATGCATGGATAAATTTGTTATATTTCTCATTTATTTCATCAAATGGTTATTTATCTTTCGACTAATAGGTTAAATCATGTTTAATCGGTGCAGTAAAAAAATTAATGCGAAAGCAACACACGTCAGTGGTTTTAAGTCAAATAAATGATGACCAACAATCGACCAATTCTGCAACATCTTAATTCAGTTTTGCCTATTGTCTCTTGTATGGTCATATTTAAAACATAAGGCCTGAGATCTATGCAAGTCATGGTCTCGACTCCTTGTGTTTTCCTCTGTGTTACTAGACCCTTTACTTAAACGACACGTTGGTGCGCAGGTAAAAAAAAACCCTAATAGTTGGAATTCGATGAAGTCCCCCAAAAAACACGCATTCTGTTTAATTCAGCCATTCTCGAAATATTTCTTTCGATCTACCCTGTACTTGATTTGTTATCATTCTGGGACAATGTTCGATAAAATTAACTGTACCCTTGATAAAGATAGTCCAATGGCTATCCAGATCATGAGATTGGACACATAGTCGAATTGGTAACATAACCGTGAGATCGAATACATAATCAAATTAGTGACCTAACCGTGAAGTCGAACCCACTATCGAACTGGTGATAAAACTACGATATCCATTTGATGTAACAGCAACAAATTGATTGCTCCTGTAGCTTCGTTATTTCTGGACTAGGAACCGACCCCCAACCGCTATTCATCTTATTGTTCTTACTGTTGCTCTTTGGGCTTACGCTCTAGAAAAAAATCTCAAGTTCCTTTGACAATTGCGCATCGATTCTGTGTCTTTGATTTTTGATATGACGTTGAAAAGGATTTTTTTCAAAATAATCCTGATGGCGTACAAATTCCATCCCAGTCTTAAATCTGTATTCTGTTATTCCTACGTTTTCTGATTCTATTCACTAGTCTGCTCAATGGTCATTATTTCTCTTTAGGGAGACAAAAGCATCCGGTTAACTTCGGTCATGTCTTCATTCCGGATGTCAAGAAATTCTCGGGTTACCGATCTATAAACTAGTACACACACTTCAGTATAAAAAAGGCTATTTGTTTCGGGATGAAAGTATCGAGCATACCAATTTAACATTACATGTAAGCCCGGTTAAAGACCCCAATGAACTTTGCCAACAGCGGCAACGTTCAAAAGAAAACTTGGTGTAAATTAATATTGGGGGGGGGGGGGCGAATAACCGGATGTGTGCGGGACAATCCAATAGAATAGAATGGGTCTGATCAAGCTATTACAGCATATTATCATACAGTTGTATAAGAATTTTATATTGTTTGATAGATCTACAGAACAAAACTAAAACGGGCAGATAATCACTTCGCATGTATGTAATAACAACAAATTGTGAAGAAAAAATGTAAAATCGTAATAACAACTCGTTTGTGTTTCTGAAGGATTCAATGTTTTAATAATTAATTGTTGAAATTACAACTTCGTAGTAAAAATTCACAATTCGCTCCATCATCCCCAACAACTCATACTTGACTCAGTCATCCCCTTACAACTCACATTTAATTGTCTCATCACCCCCTTACAAGTCACAACTCAGTCATCGCTCTACAAACAATAATTCTTTCAGCTAACCCAACAAATATTTAGCTTTCAGACAATTTAAAAGTGGTTGAAACACCTTTATCTCGGAAATAAATATGACGGCGTATTCACCAAATTTACTATTAATACCTAGACTAATGCTTCTCTTTGTCAACGTATAATAATACCTCGACTAATTGTTCAACTTGTGGAAGTGTAATTCCTGAACAAATCAAATGGTTCCAAAAATACCTGTGTTTACGGTTACCTGGCGGACCTTTTTATGGAGCCAAAATCGCTGACCCCTAAAATAATTTCAGCAACGCAGTCTGAATAAATTTTTGGTACTTGGAGGAATTCACGAGAGTTTGGATTAGAAAATGAGGAAAAATCCCGTGTCCTGACCCGAAGTAAATTTCTAAGAATATTTAGTTGTGTCGATGTGGAAGGACTAAAAAGTTTTATATTACAATATCCATATGGATTAATATAGCAATTGGTATAGCGATGGATAATATGTGACGCAGTTGGGCTTGGTAACGCAAAAAAATTGTAGCTTACAAAATTATTCATTTAATAATTCAGCAAGTTCTTTCCCTTAAAATACCTAATCCGACCGATAGACACTTTTGTTTTGGCCAAATAACCGTAAACACAAGTATTATTTTCGGGCATTAAATTGTACTTACTGGTGATTGTTACTGTGGAATGAGCACTGTCGTCACTGTTTTCAATGAAAAATGTTCCTGCAGTTGGTTCTAAAGATAAAGGTGAAAATTCTTAAAGATTGGGAATTTAAATATATTCGCAAAATCTAATTTAAAGGATCCATTTAATTCTTTCAACGATTTATAACTGTAAGTGGTGTCGCTAGGTGTGAATTAGCACTTCGGAAAGGGGGGTGGGGTGAAGAGATTGCAAGTTTATGATTATTTGAAGGGTGTGCGCTCTGGTGAATATGTACTTAAAATGTAGTCATAACAGTTAATAGTGAATCGTATAATACATGTACTAAAGTCAACATCTGTTAAAAACATCTTATACCACTTCCAGTTTTCTTCAGTGATTCAACTTTATGTCTCACTTGTATTTACAGTAGCAGATGATATCCGTATACCAATGAAATAGATCAATGTTAAAGACGCATTATACAATAAAATAAATAGTTACCTTTTGAAGTGAGGTTCTCGCCATCTGTTGGAAACATGGTGGTCCGGCCTCTTCGATTTCCTTAAAAATAACAACCATACAATAAATATAATGGATATTAATATATTGATGGCATATTTTTTTGATAACCGGTTGGTAATAAATGATGATTATTGATAATACATTGATGGTATATTGATAAATTATTTTAATAATTAATATATTGATGGTATTCAGATGATATATTGATGCTAGGTTTATAATATGGATGTTATACGAATGGTATATTGATAATATATTGTTGGCATATTGATAATATACTGATGGTATATTATTTGTAATATGAATCTTTGGCGCAATATAGCCCGGTGGGTGCTGACGTGCCATAAAACCACATTTCATTTCGTTTTGTAATATGAATCTTGTATTATTTGTAATATGACTGATATATTGGTGGTATATTGATGATATATTGATGTTTCACCACTTCATATATAGACGCGTTTAGGGTTATATGGTTCATTAGCCCAGTTCGGAGCAGAACTGTAGGACGTTAAACCCCATTTCATTCATATGAATAAATGAACAATCGAGCGTAGCGAGGCTAAAACATTTTCTTAATATAATAATTATATTTTCATCATCATAATTGATCGGCTCACATCACAAGTAGTTTTGAGTACTGTACTTAAAACTGACCAATTCCACGCTATGGTCATTTAAAGTGTGCATTGATTTCTCTAGATTTCACACCGCCATTTTTGTATGTCTTAGTCAAATAAAATAATAATAATCCTATCTTTTTCATTCTTCTTTTAAAAAATGCTTTACATGAATGTGCTTCATTACATAATAACAAACACCTTTACATTCAAATAGTTGGGGTTTTTTACTTCTGAGATCCGTGCAGAATTTGACTTTAAAAAATGCTTTGTGCTTCATTATATAATAACAACCCCCTTTACATTCAAATATTTGTTGTGTTTTTTTTACTTCTGAGACCCGTGCAGAATCTGACTTGTACTTTAGGAAATTTTGTATTTAAAAAATGTAGATTTATATTTTATAAACTTCACCCAAACTTAAATTACGTAATCATATTACATATTGTAATCACATTTCAACAGAACTTGTATTTAACTTGGTGACATTCATGACACACACGAGGTACGTGTGTTGGTCTTTACAAAATAATAAAGACATTTTCTACACTACATCGTCATGTTAAAAGATATAATGTTCTAATCGTAACTTTGAGATCTTATCTGATCATCCGACACCAAGCTACTAATGTTCGATGACGTCAATACATTCAAGACGAGCAGACTTCGAGCATCGACCTTACACGATGGAGGTCACGCCCACCCTTCCGTAACATTGACAACAAGATTTTTTTTTCTTTTTTTTATTTTTTTTTTTGCCCCAGGATGCTCATTATACAAAAGAAGTTGTTATTTTTTTTTTTTTTTTTTAAATCTCTGATAAATGTGTGTTAAAACAGAATATGTTACAGAGGGGAGTAAGATGAGGTTTAGCGTCCAATCGACACAAGTAGGTCATTTCGGGACAAACACAAATTTTCCCTCAAAGCACACTTTATGGCGTATTCCCGTCTTCAATAGCTCAGTCGGAGTAGAACGTTAAACCCCATTTCATTTCATTTTCATATTTTTCCATTTTATTGTCATCAAAATGTCTTTCTTTCACAATCGTATTCTACCAGTGACAGTATTTATATCAACTAGTCAAAATTCCCATAATTCAACATACTCGAAGCCCCGTATACCAACACAGACAATTTCTTTGGATCAATAATTTCATGGATTCCAAACTCCACTTACTAATGCAGTGCAATAACAAAAATAAAACGGAATGCAATTTACATCTTACAAGCACAATCAAATACATATGCCTGGAGAAGACATACAATTCAAATATTAAAGATTATAGCGTGTCAATTATGATTTCTCTTCTCAAAATGACTTGGATCAAACGACATCGTACTTTTATCAATAAACTATTATATCGATATATTGCGATATTTTGTTTCGCATTAACAATTGTTCTGATACAATTTCTGAAATATCGACATATTATAAATAAGGATCCGTCATATTTCGCTTTTACTAAATATTATTTTTACAAACAATGCGCCTGCATATGATTATAGTTCCCAATTAGCTCGTCAGCTGATTGGTGACAATCTCAATGTTAAATCAAGTTATTAATCAGCCCTTAAGCCAGAGGTATTATAGCTTGATTTTTAAAAAGACAAAAAATTGTTGAACTATCCAAGCGTAAAATCCCGCATGAAATGTGCATAGAAGAATGATATGATATAAGGAGATTTTTCGAAAATAAATTTCTTATACATAGTTCCATATTATCAAAACCATGGTGTTTATTGATAAAATGATAGTTGAAATTTTAAATAACATAGTTATAAAGTTAGCTATAAAGAAGATTTGGATAGTTACCACAAGACGGTGTGGATAATGATTGATTAAAACGCTAATTGCCAGACGTGATTAACTTACAATAAACTCATTAATGACATATTTCACTTTAAACATTGTAAAAACAAATCAATTAACAATAACTCTTAAGATGACACGAAATTTAAAGTTGAAACAGTCAACTGGCCATATATAGGGATGGATGGCAGATATTGAACATTATCATTTCACGGTGAGTTACTGGTACGAACCACCCACCTACAAAAGGGATACTACAAAGTGTTGACTAAAAATGAGGGGTAAGAATTAGTAGATCAAACATTATGTTAAAATCATTAATATATTTACAGTTATATCATTCGTATTTTTGTTATCACGATTCGTAATTTTAAAAAGTCATTCTATAACACAGCACTGAATAGGCCTTACAATTAAATATTCAATATATGCGGTTATCAGACGCTAGGAGAAACTGAATACAAGTCATCAATATTTAGATTCGGTTTCACAATTAAATATTCAGTATTTGCTGGTATTTATTACGTGCTTATTATAAAAAAAATATTAGCACTTCAAGATGCTGGGAGAAATTGAATACAATATTATCAATGTTTAGATTCGACCTTGCAATTAAATATTCGGCATTTGCTGGTATCTTTTATGTGCTTATTATTTCATATATTAGCACTATAAGATGCTAGGGGAAACTGAATACTAAGTCATCCATATTTAGATAAGATTTACAAATAGATTCGGCCATACAATTAAATATTCAATATTAGCTGGTATCTATTTACGCGCTTATTATATAAAATATTAGCACTATAATATGCTAGGAGAAACTGAATACTGTCTCATATATTTAAATAACGTCTCACAATTAAATATTCAGTATTTGCTGGTATCTATTACGTGCTTATTATGTGAGATATTAGCACTATAAGATGCTAGGGGAAACTGAATACTAAGTCATATATATTTAGATCAGTTCTATAAATAAATTCAGTATTTGCTGGTATCTATTACGTGCTTATTATATGAAATATTAGCACTATAAGATGCTAGGAGAAACTGAATACTGTCTCATCAATATTTAGATATCGCCTGACAATTAAATATTCAGTATTTGCTGGTATCTATTACGTGCTTATTATATGAAATATTAGCACTATAAGATGCTAGGAGAAACTGAATACTGTCTCATCAATGTTTAGATATCGCCTCACAATTAAATATTCAGTATTTGCTGGTATCTATTACGTGCTTATTAAGTGATATATTAGCACTATAAGATGCTAGGGGAAACTGAAAACTAAGTCATCCATATTTAGATGAGGTCCACAAATAAATTCGGCCTTACAATTAAACTATTTAGTATTTGCTGGTATCTATTACGTGCTTATTATATGAAATATTAGCACTATAAGATGCTAGGGGAAACTGAGTACTGTCTCATCAATATTTAGATATCGTCCCACAATTAAATATTCAGTATTTGCTGGTATCTATTACGTGCTTATTAAGTGATATATTAGCACTATAAGATGCTAGGGGAAACTGAATACTAAGTCATCTATATTTAGATAAGTTCTACAAATATATTCTGCCTTAAATTTAAATATTCAGTATTTGCTGGTATCTATTACTTGCTTATTATATGAAATATTAGCACTATAAGATGCTAGGAGAAACTGAATACTGTCTCATCAATATTAAGATATCGTCTCACAATTAAATATTCAGTATTTGCTGGTATCTATTATGTGCTTATTATATGAAATATTAGCACTATAAGATGCTAGGAGAAATTGAATAATGTCTCATCAATATTTAGATATCGCCTCACAATTAATATATTTAGTATCTGTTTGTATCTATTACGTGCTTATTAAGTGATATATTAGCACTATAAGATGCTAGGGGAAACTGAATACTAAGTCATCCATATTTAGATAAGATTTACAAAAAGATTCGGCCATACAATTAAATATTCAATATTAGCTGGTATCTATTTACGCGCTTATTATATAAAATATTAGCACTATAGTATGCTAGGAGAAACTGAATACTGTCTCATCAATATTTAGATAACGTCCCACAATTAAATATTCAGTATTTGCCGGTATCTATTACGTGCTTATTATGTGAGATATTAGCACTATAAGATGCTAGGGGAAACTGAATATTAAGTCATATATATTTAGATCAGTTCTATAAATAAATTCAGTATTTGCTGGTATCTATTACGTGCTTATTATATGAAATATTAGCACTATAAGATGCTAGGAGAAACTGAATACTGTCTCATCAATATTTAGATATCGCCTCACAATTAATATATTTAGTATTTGCTTGTATCTATTACGTGCTTATTAAGTGATATATTAGCACTATAAGATGCTAGGAGAAACTGAATACTAAGTCATATATATTTAGATCAGTTCTATAAATAAATTCAGTATTTGCTGGTATCTATTACGTGCTTATTATATGAAATATTAGCACTATAAGATGCTAGGAGAAACTGAATACTGTCTCATCAATATTTAGATATCGCCTGACAATTAGATATTCAGTATTTGCTGGTATCTATTACGTGCTTATTATATGAAATATTAGCACTAT